TTTAAAGTTGCATGAACTGCATAACCCAATTTCAACTCAGACAATAAATGATAAAGAATCATGTTTGTGTTGATGCTGCTCGTTCAATTTTCCTTTAAATGGTGTCCACTGTAGAATTGGATAATATCCATTTAGTTATTAATTTTGGCAAAACGTGACTGGTGAACAGAAAGGCCAAATTATGCTTGTAAATTTAAAGGAATAGCCGAAATGATTAACAAAAACAAAGACTAGACTTGAATTAAATAAAACAACAAAAACTATAAAGAAAACTCATCAAATTCCTTTTTTTCTCCTTTTGACATAGAAATCAAATTCTTATATATTTAATTAACATAAAATCTAAGTTAATTTAAGAATTTAAACATAATAATCTTTTATTAAAAGAAATATTTATTATATTTTTTTTATTTTTGTGTGATAAATTATTTTTTAAAATAAAAATTTAATACTGGCTTTATGTAGATAAGAAACCCGTTTTGTACTCTTTGAGTGGGTGATGTATGAAGTTGATGAAATAAATGGCAGGAACAGGGAATCAGGTAAGCGTGAAGAATGTAAGGCAGTGCTGCTGAAGTTGCTACAAAAGAAAAATTGTCCTCATTAGACCCATTACGGTTGCATTATTGGAAGAGTAAAGTTTGTACAATTTGGCAGATAGACGATGACTGCATTAATGGTGGACAACCAAAGGATAACAACAGTAAATTTCGTGTGAAATGGGTGCAACAATCTTCATCACTTAAAACTGCATATTGATCATGAAAAACCTTTTGCTCAAGAAAATTATAACAATATTGTAGATCATTTCCTTCCACAAAATCAACAAATTTAAATTTGATACTATTGATTTTTTTGTGTGCTATTAAATTAAAATATTTGTAAATAAATTATAAAAAATATATTGTATAACTATTTTAAAATTTAATAAATTGTGTAACTTTAAAAATAAAAAATATTGTAATTATTAATAATTAATATTTTATTATATTAAAAAAATAAAGTGAAATTCTTTAAATGAAAAATAAATTATAAAAAATTAAATTGAATTGAATAGTAAATGCTTCATTTAGAAAAAAACTTACTTGATATAAAGAAAAAGAGAATTAAATCTTAAAAATATGTTCATTCACAAAAATTTAAAAAACCATTCTCATTCAAAAATGTATATTCAGAAGTTATATATAAAGTTTTATAGATTAAAAAAAGAAAAAACTGGCTTCACAGTTAAGAGAAAAAGGAATGACTACATATAGTGGTCATTGTTAATTCTTAATCCTCATGTCTCACAGTGATAAAATAATAATATTAAAAATAAATTATTAGTTGGTATATGCACATGTATACCTAACTTGTTCCAGAGAAGAAGGATGATCATGTTTGATACTAGAATTTCAGAATAGAATCTGATGAGATGAGTGCCCCATGTATGTACATATCTTGGAGTTGGTAGTGTCCCTTCAATCAGGCATATACCCAACCAAAACAAGTCATTGACTAAGAAAACGATCCTCAAAGAACACAGGAATCCTACTGAGACAAGACAAAGGTACAGCGTTGGTAATGAAATTCCCAAGCGTGTCGTATATGTTTGTATTACATTATTCCGAATATGAGATTATTCAATCAATTAATGTCTTGCAGAGATCAACAAGGAATCACAATTATTGTTGAGAACTGGACAATTCGCTTCTTCAATATATAATCAAAACAATATTTTATTTGTATATTTAACTAATATACCACACTTAAGTCCCCTTGCCAGATTACAATTTCATTAACAAAGAAAAAAACATAGTTGAATGGGGATAAAAAATTGTCACGCATGGTTGAAGGTTGGCCTCCTCTAATTAGCAAGAACTGTTGTTCAATTTGACAAATGATGTTTATATAATATTGATGAGAACAAAGAAACACAAGGACTTCTCTAATTGCCCTTTAAATAGACTAATAAGATGGATATTCCTAACTCCTAAGGACTTTTAAGTCTAAAACCTACAATGAACTTTCAAAGAGTTGTAATCAAATAACCCAACAAAACTGTAGGCGTCCCAAAAAGTTCAAAAGGGTATTTTCATGTAGCAAAACTTGAAGCACGCTGTGGTCTACTGTGTTTTTTCTTCTGCATAAACTAGTGGAAAGGAAGAAGAATAATTATCTGTGGACTATATTATCTTGTAGGGCAAAAGGGAATCTCACAATTGTTGTCTTTTGCAATTGTAACTAAGGTTATCGATGTTAAACTTTGGTCTTAAGAGAGAAGAAAAGGGACCAGACATAACTTAACTGCACCTAAAAGAGAGAACTTGACCATCTTAAAAGGGAATGATAACGAGTGTGAGTATGATATTAATTACAAAAATAAAATTATTTAAGCTGAAATATGTTTTTAATCCTTAAAATATGATAGCTTTTTGTTTTAGCTATTATAAAAATTATATTCATTTTAGTTTCCGCACTTATTATTATGATCCCTCACTATATATTAAAAGCACGCATTTTTTATTTTTACGAGATTAAAAAATAATTATTTTTATTTGGACTAACTAAAACAAATCATATTTTTAAAGATACAAAACATATTTAACCCAAATATTTATCATATAAGAAATATAAAAAAGTATTCTATAGTTGTTTTTAAGTAACTTGCAAGTTTATTATGCATTACATGGATTTTGTTCACTTAAATTAAAATTTAATATAAAAATAAAAGTTAATTAAAATATATTTTACACTATCATTTAACTGGGTACAATAATTGAGGACAATAATTTTTTTTTCCTAATTGTTAATAATCAATTCCAGATAAATTTACCCCCTATACCTATTCCCAAATTTCTCATAGGTTCTCGTGGAGGTCCCAATAATAATAATAATAATAGAAACGTGATGACATAAAAAAGAAACATATTTTTAAATCTGAAAATACATAAAAAGAGAAATTGGATAACTCTTCCCCTCATGAGAGTGCAAGATTGCTTTCTTAATCAAACTCTGTTAAGTATTAGCATTAACTAAATATTTTTATGCTCCCATATCGTACTACATGTGTCCTCCAAGACATTATTTGATCATATTTTGTACCATGATTATCTCATGATTGGGGAATAGGACAGATTAAACAAGGTAAAAGATTGATGACAACAGCTGCATGCAAAAATATGTTATATAAAAAAGCCGTCTAGCCAATTCAAAAGTGCTATCTATTGCCCAATCAATTATAGATATTCTTCTTTACAACCCACCCCTCCCCCTCTCAACCCCACACACAAAAAAGATAATGTTCTAAGCTCAAATTGTTGCTTGTACCGACAATGTCATGCGATACCAGAATACAGCATCAAAGTTTTTGATATGTAATGAAGTAGTTACTATTAATCTTGTTTGAACCATAGCAAAATTCCATTTACACGTTAACTAGGATCAGTTTGCAACATTGAAAAGGGATGAAAAACTTTTCAGTTTCTCACAGACAGATAAGATACATCCTCTTAAATTTAAATGCACCTAACTCAATCTCAAAAATAAATATATAAGATAAAAATTATTTTAACTTCTATAAATTTTACTTCGGTCATATTGGACGTGAGGTCATAATATATGTGTCAATATTAGAAGAAATAAAAAAGGCCCCTCGCAGTGTACCATGTTGATCTGATTAATCACTACACAGGTGTCTGTGGTCCTAGTTCTAAGAGATTAGTCAATGTTTTCAACTTCAGGATTTCAAGTTTAATAGTATAAAGGAATCAAGTTCTAAATAAACTTTCGGGAGAGCGCTTGTATATTAGGTTGCTTAGTTAAAAACAACACTTAATGTTTCTCAAAACGATTAAAAAATAATAATTAAGGGACATTCTTACATCCAACGAGTAAAGAAAGAATGCTCCTACCAATAGCTGTTCTCGCTCCAAAAAATTTTGGTCTGGGATTATCTTCCACTATACGTTTCTTATGCACAGGAAATAAACTGTACTGTGATGCAAGCAACTTTTGTGACATAGTAGGCATGTCCATTGAGTTCGGCGAGTTACTTAAATCTAAGTGTTGCTAAACACCTACTACTACTACTACTACACAAGTCTCGAGCATCGTTTGTTTGTATTGAGCTCAACGCCTCTCTATTGAACATAAAATGGTTATCATCATGACCTGCTTTTGTTTTTATTTCATTACGTAACTTTTATTTTAAAATATCACAACTTTTACATTTTAATTTTAACCATTTATAATAAGATTTTATAATTAATGTCTTCCTTGATTTGATAAAATTTAAAATTCATAATATATATATATATATATATATATATATATATTATTATTTCTCCTTTCAGCATTAAAAAAAAAATCCTTTCCTACACCCAGCGTTATAATTTTTTATAATAATAAATTCAACTCAATCAAAAACTAAACCTTTTACTTATAATGCCTTTTAAAAATAAAAAATATTTTAATTTATACGCTATGTTATATAAAAGATTATTAAATATTAAAATAAATTGAACATCTTTATTTCTTATTTCCCTCAACTTTGGGAGGAAACTATTTAGCAAGTGGAACCTGTACCCTCTCTTCCTCCTTTCCCACTTATCTAAACACAACCTACCTCGTCCATTTCCTTTCTCCCATCTTAAACATATCATTGTGGCCTGTTTGGTTAAAGAAGAAATAAAAAGAATAAAATTATAAATAACAATTTATCATATTTTTTTTGCTTGATTAAAAGAAAAACATTTTTCTTCCTTCAATTTAAATTTGAATTATTTTACCTTCCTCTCTACCAAACAAATGGTAGTGTTTTTCAATACTCGTACACCAGCAACAATTTTTCAAAGTAAGAGACAAACTAAATAAATTCTATAATACTCTATAAAATAAAAGAGTATTTTATATTTTCTTACATGTAAAATAATTATAACCATTAATTTTATATCAATAAACAGTAGAAATACTAATTTATTTAGAAAAAACATAAATACATTTTAAATTTTAAAATATTAAAAAAATCATAACTCTTAATTTAAAGAAAATATACAATGTCCATTCAAATTTAGGAAGATCGTAACAAGCACCTATACTAAAGGTGCATTTGCTATGCAACGGAACATTTTAAATTTTTGAACTTGGCTTGTTTCATACATTTTGCCACGGGAGGGTTATGCTATAATTTCAAATGTATAACTTTTGCCACTTCCTTTCACCCGTGCAGGGGAGAGGCAACAGACATGGGATTAAGACCCTTTCTATGACATTGATTTCCACTTGGGCTTCAGGTATAGCCGAAGAGTTGATTCCCATCTTGGGTTGATACATCAACCCATAGTGCACAATTAACAAATACAAGACAAACCAGGTCATAAAATTTCTACTCTATTCAGCAACTCAGTTGTCTAGCCAGTCTATGCAATAATAATGTAATAACGCAATCCTAGTTATGAAAATAACAAATGAAAGTAGAAATTGATCAGCATGTAAGCTTCTAATGTACGTTCAATTAGTGATCATTTTAAACTGGAATCGGGAAAGTTGCTGAGGGATGGTGGATATAACTGGCCCGTATCTCTGCAAACAAAGTGATACACAAATTTCATAAGACATTGATTTTAAAAAATCGTAAGATGGCATAAAATTATGAAATTTTGATTGACAAACATAATAATGTGAAAACGTTTCAAAATAAGCACCATGGTCAATCGTCAGATGAAAAACTTTTAAGATGTGCCAAAAAAGAAAACATACTAGATGAGCCCCATGCCTGCCATATCAATTCATAGGATTCTCTTACTTGATACAGTTTCAGTTAATATACATGTTTTTCCATTAAGCAATTAATGATAACCATTTTAATTCTTCACATTATAAATAATTCATTCTCCAAATCTAGTAATAGAAAAGAACCAGATTATCTACCATACCTGAACATTGTCATAGAGTTCAAACAATGGAACAGCAAGCAGTTTTAAGTTTTTGGGCACTGCAAAGTATTCCCTCTCTGATAAGTGAACGAGAAAAAGCTTCTTGCACTCCTACATATAAGATATTCAACAGTATTATTGTAAGTATGGACCAACTGACCAAGGAGCCAGGAATGCAAGATATTTGATGTTTTTGCCAAAATACCTTGGGTTTTGTTATATGAGGAGGGCAGTATGGATACATTATGGTTTCAAAATTTGGCCTCCACCAGATTGCAACACACTCACCTATCTGCAGTTTTCCAAGGATAAGAGTAAATGAACAACAACATAGATGGGGATAGTCACAGAATGTCAAATTGAACATGCCAATCTTAAAAAGTAACAAACCTCCCAATCAGGCACAAGAGCTGATGAATTAGCACCAAGCTTGCTAGTCAACTTTCTCTTCAAGCCCTCAGTTTCTGTAAACAATATCAGATAACCGATCAGAAAAATACATTAGGATAATCACAAGCTGCTAATTACAGACTACCATATTTAGAACCCAGTAGCAAGATCTTACCATTCTCTCCAGGCTTGAGACGACCACCTGGAAGTTTGCAGAATGTGTTCCCAATTTGCAGAAGAAGTATATGAGGATGATTGTGTTCTTGTACCTGCAAAATTAAATTATAAAGATGAGATAGGACAACAAACAGAATCTCCAAGGAAATTAGAGTAAAGTAAAGATGCACTTGTGAAATCGACTCAAGAAAAGATGCACTTTGATGCAATTTTATGGGTCTAGTCAACTAGGTTCAATAATACTAAAGCTGCATCGGAGAAGTGAACTGAAAAATGCAACATAGGTGGTGATAAAATCATCATGTGTCACCAATCATCAATCCTTCAATTCAGATTACTAACACAACCACATATTGGCACACTAACCTTATAATTTCACAGGCTATTGAAATCAATTAATCCAATTCACAAGTATTACTCAAATCACAACCAACAGTAGTTCTAACTTTTAGCATCCAATAAGAGAAGTAAGCAAAGATCCCAACATCAGCATGGTTCTATACCTGCCACACAAACAACTAGGAAAAAAATCTTAACTTCAAAACCCAAAACCTGGTAGATAATCGTACTTTATCCCATATATTGTTCTTCAAGTTAGTAGAAATAATTCTCTAGCAAATGATAAATTTATATGATAAAAAATCAACAAGGACTCCTAGTCCAAGGATGATGACAACAACAAACAAGCTTTATCCCACTAAGTGAGATCGAGTACATGGATCATACAATGTCATTAAGCTCAGTCAAAAACTAGATTTTCATAAATCTGATTGATAAAAATGTCTCTTTTAATAACTTCATCTAAGATTCTTTTGGATTTCTCTCTAACCTTCTTTACTAAAAGTCATGCAATCCATTTTCTTCACTCATGTAAACCATAAATACTACAGTTTTAGTTTTAATAGATGATTGTCACTTTTAATTTAGTTTTAGTTTTTATATGAAACGATCATTTTCAATTCAATCCCTATACTTAAGGGTAATTCAATGTCAATCTCATGGTGTTATAATGGCAGCAGATGATTGGAACAAAGTTGAAAACTATTGGGAGCAAATTGAATAATTGAAAATCAGTGTTGTCACATGTGCTGATCAAGAATATATGTTAACCTCAAACAAAAAGAGAAACAGAGCAATCACTTAACATACCAGTAAAATTCCTTCCACGCTGGTCCTCATTCCTTCTTTCATATAACTGAAGTTAAGAAATAAAGTAAATACCAATATTTCAGAATCTATTGGGTATATAACGAATTGGAGCAGCACACAGAACAAGGAACAAGTAAAACGTTTATGTAGCCCAATTCTAAAAGTTTCGGGATTCCTTTCCCTTTTCAGTGCTTCATTTTCCTCCTAATTCAATCAGAAGAGAACTTGAGATTTCAAAACCATGTGACCATGAATATGTCACATCTGAAGCATTCAAATTACTAATTACATTAAGGGGGGGCGGGGGGCACCTTTACAGAAAATTTCCATCCTGTGCAATTCTTATGCCTTCAACAAATCCTTATTCCCAAACCCCCCTATTGAAAATGAAGTTTTTTAATGTTTCATTGAAGAAGAATGTGATCATCTAATATATGGTTAAAAATATAGTCTAGGGTTTGGGGGGGCGTCTAGTCTAGGGTTTTTGGGTTGATATTGAGAAAGATAACAAGAAAAGAAAGAGAAGATACGAACTTGACTTTCATACGAGCGAGACGATCCGCGACGGAAGTGTCCTTCTCCATTTTGGGCTCTTTGGTACCGAATGTGTAGCTCGACAACGGGTATGTATTCACCACTTTCGGAGACACCATCTTCTCGTCTCTTCTCTACTCGGGTTTAATTCAGTGGAACAAAGAGAGGAACTAAGAAGAAGCAGAGAGAGAGAGAGAGAGAGAGAGAGAGAGAGCGAGAGAGCTAATTAACTGAACTAGAGATTCTGAATTTGTATTTTCCAAATGGAAATGGAAATTCTTATGCTGAATAGATTTGTTATCCGGTAAAGTTCTTTGTTTTGGTCAAAATAGTAAAGTAATTGTTCGAAATGCAAAATCAATTAAATTTCTAAAATACCGGATCATGGGCCGCTAGCCCACTCTTATGTCAGAACTATTGCATGAATTACATTACATTTAGCCAAATGGTAACTGCCATCTTTAACTCAAAAACCGAATAATTTTATCATCAGTATGTTTAAGAAAGCAATATTACAATTTTCTATCCTTTCTTTATTTTTTAAAAATTTAGATATTTAAGTTTTAAACATGGTTTAAATAAGGTTTTTTAATTATATTAATTAATTTTTTTATTCATCACTATTCATTGTTTTTCTTTTTTCTTTTCTGTCTCCTTTTTCTTCTTCTTGCATTAATGGTAGGCATTGTGGAGGCGTGAAACTATTCATAACAGTGCTTTGACAATGATAATTAAAAAATGTTAGAATGAAGTTGTAGAATTGTCACGAAGGTACTGGGAGGAAGAAGAATGGAAAAAGGGAAGAGTAAGATAGACAAAGAATAAAAGCAAATAGAAGAGGCAAATAAATAAAAAATAAAGTTAATATACAGTTAACCAAAATAACTTATTTGAATTACATTTAAAATTAAAGAATAAATTAAATATTTTCTTTAAATTTTAAGGACAAACAATATGGCATAACTAATGCTTATATAAAACCTTGCGTTTAAAAAATATTTTTCAATATATAATAAATGTTGAAATATAAAGGAATGGAAATGTTGGGGTTTAAGCTTAAGCCCTACCGACTTAGAAAATAATACAGTCGAAGACATTCCCAAGAAAAGTGGAAGCGCGCCAAAACGACTTAACTCGACCAAGCCCCCACCGGCGGAGATCCGGTACGGCGGCCCCACCGCCACAAAGATGGGAAAGCAAAAGCAACAAATAATTTCCCGCTTCTTCGCTCCGAAACCCAAAATTCCTTCATCAAACACCGATTCTTCTTCTTCCCCTCGTCCAAACCCTCCAACTCCCAAAATCTCCGCCACCGTCACTTTCTCTCCATCCAAACGCCGCCTAACTTCCGAACTGACATCCCCTCATAAACTCCCCAAACTCTCCCCTCACACTCAAAACCCCCTACCCCCTCCACCTCACCCCTCTCTCCACCAACGCTTCCTCCAGAAGCTTCTCGAACCTTCTTCCCCTCAACAACCCCATTCCTCTTCCAAACCCTTAAAATACACTCCTTTGGAGGAACAAGTGGTGGACCTCAAAGCTAAATACCCTGATGTTCTTTTGATGATTGAAGTTGGTTACAAGTATCGTTTTTTCGGCCAAGATGCTGAAGATGCTGCTAGAGTTTTGGGTATATATGCGCATATGGATCATAATTTTTTAACTGCTAGCATACCAACATTTCGATTGAATGTCCATGTGAGGAGGCTTGTGAGTGCAGGGTATAAGGTTGGCGTGGTTAAGCAGACTGAGACTGCGGCCATTAAGGCTCACGGTTCGAACCGGTTAGGCCCGTTTTGCCGAGGGTTGTCGGCCTTGTACACCAAGGCCACACTGGAGGCGTCTCGGGATTTGGGGGGAGGGGAAGAGGGTTGTGGAGCAGAGAGTAATTACTTGCTGTGTGTTGTGGAGAAGAGCATTTTGGGTGAGAAAGTGAAATGTGGGGTGGAAGGTGGTTTTGATGTGAGGATTGGAATGGTTGCTGTGGAGATATCAACAGGGGATGTTGTTTATGGGGAGTTTAATGATAATTTTTTGAGGAGTGCACTTGAGGCTGTTGTTTTGAGCTTGTCTCCTGCTGAGTTGCTTCTTGGGGACCCTCTTTCTAAACAAACAGAGAAGGTAGTTTTTATGTACCCAGGTGTTACTGGTCTTGGCAATAAATGAAGTAATGATTATTTTCTTATTTACCTCATGTTTTAAGAATTGTATTTTGGTTTCATTATGTTAAATAGAGCATCAGCCTGTAGATTGCTGTACCCCAAAATCCAATTACGTGATTGGGTGTTCTGTTATTAGTTATTGCTGGATTTTGCTGGACCTGCCTCAAATGTTCGTGTGGAGCATGTGTCACGAGATTGCTTTGCCACTGGGGGTGCTCTTGCTGAAGTTATGACCTTGTATGAGAACATGCATGTATGCAGTCCATCAGATTCGATGCAAAGCAATGAATTGACTGAGAACAGCGGTCAGCAGGTAGTAATCAAGGTATCAACTACCGATATTTTGTAGAAGTTTTATTCTTGCAGCAAGCTTTGGAAATTCTTAAAATCAAAATTTTTTGTTAGTCTCAGCATGTGTTTTTCTCTTAGTTAACATCTATCTTGTGATTATTGACCATGTCACTGAAGTTTGTTATCACAGTGGATTGTAGTTTTTGATGAAACGAATTGCTAAATTTTCATGTACTTCCTTTTTCTATTAATTCTTTTTTGTTTAATTTTTTATTCCCCAGAAAATCTTGTGCCTGCATTTTTAATTTTGCAATGCAGACTTAGCTATATATTTATTCCTGTTGCACTTTCTATTCACAACTTGTTCTGTTACTCTCTTTATTATAAAGGAGGTGATGAACATGCCAGATTTGGCTGTCCAAGCTTTCGCCTTAACTATTCGCCATTTAAAGGAATTCGGTTTTGAAAGAATTCTGTGTTCAGGAGCTTCTTTAAGGCCCTTCTCAAACAATACAGAAATGACCCTCTCAGCCAATGCACTTCAACAACTGGAGGTAATTAAACTATACTTTTTCTTTTCTTTAAAGTGTTTAGCAAGTACTGGATCATATTTTATACTTCCTTGCTGCATGTTTCAACTTTCTATTTGTTTCAAAGTGTGACAGTTATAAACTGTGCTTATGTGTAACTAAAGCTTAAATATTCAGTAAGACTAATCATTATTGCTCCATTATCTAGTCATGACAAGCTCAACTAATTAGCAATATTATAAACATACACCTTGACTACTGCTTCCTTTTAAGTACTGCTGTGGTACATAGATAATTGGCTCTATTTATCACATATGATTGAATCAAAACCTGTACTTCCCTTTCTTTCTTTGGTTCAGGTATTAGTTTCTTTGGATGCATACAAAAGTATAGCAGTCTAGTGTCCTTGTTTCTTGCTGGCCAGTTCCCACTGGCTCAAACATGATTAGCTGTATTCTTTCACAAGGGGTTATAAGATCATTGATGATTCCATACTTGTGTTCTAGTTGTGAAATTTATGTTGAACTTGTGTTCTTATATAAGCTAGAAGCCTATAACTGTTTGGATTTTTTCCCCTCATACCAGCTAAAATTTCCCCTGCAGTCATTGCTGTTAATGGATGCTTCATATGTTTTCAGGTTTTGAAAAATAACAGTGATGGATCTGAGATTGGTTCCTTGCTGCACGTTATGAATCACACTCTTACTATCTTCGGTTCCAGGCTTCTTAGACATTGGGTATTGGGGTGCTTCCATTACATATATACAAACGTTGAACGTTACTTGTCCTTTCTTTATCAGCCAAGAAGAACCATTCTTAAATTGTTGTCTTGTGTGCATGATACAGGTATCACACCCATTGTGTGATCAAACCTTAATTTGTGCTCGTCTTCATGCTGTATCTGAAATTGCAGAGTCCATGGGATCTTGTAATGTTGTGAATAATCTTGGATGTGTTGAGGAAGATCCTGATGTAGCAATTGTGCAACCTGAGTTAGCATACATACTTTCGTTGGTTTTGACAACTTTGGGCCGAGCACCTGATATACAGCGTGGAATTACAAGAATTTTCCATTGCACAGCAACACCATCTGAGGTAATGATTAGCTTCTTGTTGGCCTGTTGATGAATTTCACTACATTCTGTAATACAATTGATTGTCTATTTGTTTTCATCTTCCTTGTAATTTCTTTTCACAAATGAGCCTTACATGAGAGAGGGAGACAGAAAGAGAGCTGAACATATTTTGTTGATTACTTAATGACAAGATTCTCTGCTTGAGCATGGCAAGATTTCAACGTTCTGATGTGAGTGTTTGGTCCATTTTCAGTTTAAGAGTGATAAACATGCTAACAATCTGTTTGTGATTCTACTATACATGTTTTGAGGCTTTCAGTTGGAGTGGCCTAGAATAAATGCATGTTTCAAAATCCATTCGAGTTGTACAAGTGTGTTTGCAAGTGTAACAGGACTGTGACATAGATGAGGCCTGAACACCTAATATATGAATGTTTACCAAGATATAAGGAATATATAAGGAGCATGCCAGTTTGCTTTACAAACACTGGCTTCTATCTTTAGAATGTATATTTAAAATTTGTGTCTAAGGAGTAGTCACTGAAAAGATCTGTACGTTTTCTTCAAAATGAAGATTGACTGTTTTAAAGATGTGTGAATTTGTAAGGGTTAAGAAAGTGCACCACTGTAATGAAATTAATATTTTTGGTGAAAATTGTTGTATTGTTTGAGAACTGCAGAGTTTCAATGCTGTGCAAGCCTGCATGGGAATGGTGGACAGTGTTCATATTGATATTAATGAACAATTATAGGCATTTGGATTCTTGATATGTCATATTTGATGAGCATAAATTAAAACTCAAGAATTTCAATTGACCAGAAACCTACTAGCTATTGACTGCTTGAAACTTGTTCTCTTTTTGCAGTTTGTTGCTGTAATTCAAGCTATTTTGTCTGCTGGAAAACAATTGCAACAACTTAACATAGGAGAGGGGAATAATAACTCACTCTGCTCTAATCTGTTAAAAAAGTTAATTTTGACTGCTTCCTCTGGCAGTGTTATTGGCAATGCTGCAAAAATGTTGTCATCTTTAAACAAAGACTCTGCTGATCAAGGAGATCTAACAAATTTAATCATTGCATCAGATGGACAATTCCCAGAGGTTTGTCTGTATCTTTTGTGTAAAAATTTCCATTTTAAAATTTGCTTCTTTGTACTTTTATCTAGTGCTGTATTGACTTTATTACTTTGAATAGGTCATTAGAGCTCGGAAGGCTTTCAAGATGGCAGTGGAACAATTAGATTCATTGATTGATCTGTATCGCAAACAGCTTGGAATGAAAAATTTGGAATTCATGAGTGTTTCTGGAACAACTCATTTGATAGAGGTAGTCTAATTGAAAGATGAAAAGTCCTTAATATTTAAACATTGCAGATGCTGGAAATTCAGTTAGAAATCCTATTTGATATTCCAGTTCTTGTTACATTTTCACTATTAAGGATATGGAAAATGTTGATTGCCTGTATTCATTTGGTTCTTGGTAATATTGACCATTTCCAATTTTTAAATTGATATTACTATTACTAAGTGTCTCTCTTTTATTTTCCTTTCTTTTCATAAACTTTAAAAAATTAATTACAATTACATGTTTCTTGTGTTTTATTGGTCAAGAGCTCTGATTTAACATGTTTCCATAGAGTTAATGCTTGGTTGTGAATAACTTTGAATTGGTATTCATTTATTTTTTGGCTGCAGTTATCTACTGATGTCAAGGTTCCTTCAAACTGGGTTAAGGTAAATAGCACAAAGAAAATGATTCGGTATCACCCTCCTGAAGTGGTGACAGCACTGGACAAGTTATCATTAGCAAATGAGGAGCTTACTGTTGCCTGCCGAGCTGCCTGGGATAGCTTTCTGAGGGACTTCAGTAAACACTATGCTGAGTTCCAAGCTGCTGTTCAAGCACTAGCTGCTTTAGATTGTCTGCATTCACTTGCCATTCTTTCAAGAAATAAGGTTTGTTCTCGAAAGACTTTTCGACTGCCTCCAAAAAAATTATGTTGCATTCTGTTATATAATTCTCTATTCTCTGTCAGGGTTATGTTTGCCCAGTGTTTGTTGATGATTATGAGCCTGTTCAGATTCAAATTTGTTCTGGTAGACACCCGGTATGAATTTAATGGTTTATACTTTGTACTTCTGTACACAATTTACATTAATTTTTCTTGAATCTATGAGTCGTAAATTCTTGCCTGTCATATTTGTTGTTTGTGTATTTAGTACACACCATCATGTGCATTTTTTCCTGCAAATTGGGTCTTGGATGGCTAACGCCTAAGGGCATCAAAATATTTCTGATTGATAGTTGCAACCAATTCTGTTTGATAGTTGTGACTTTATCTGGTGTAACAGAACCAGAATATTCTACCTCAAAAATTACTGGGGTTGCAGTAATTTACTTCAACTCAGTTGATTCAAGTTCCTCATTGTTGATTAGAAACCAGAGGCTTATTATTGTAATAATTTCTCACTAGGTTTTGGAGACTACCTTACAAGACAATTTTGTCCCAAATGATACAAACATGCATGCAGACAGAGAGTACTGTCAGATTGTTACTGGACCAAATATGGGGGGGAAAAGTTGCTATGTCCGCCAGGTGGCTTTGATTGCTATAATGGCTCAGGTAAAGTCAATGCAGTGTCTGCTATATTTCTGCTTGGATTTTCTTCCATCAGTTCATCAACCTGTTGAGGCTGTGCAGTAGAGCATGTAATTTACTTTGTAAATACCAAAAGGCAATTACCTATTCTGGGAAAGTTTCTGATATATGTCTTGAGATTGGGTTAGCTTTTTGTTTCAAATTATTTTCTATATTTTCATCTTAAGTTGTTTACTCTCTCTGCCTTCAAAATGTTTAACCTCTTGATTTTCTTTGACAACCATGTCCCTTACGGCTGTTGCTTTATTGAAATGTCCCTGAACTCTAGGTTGGTTCCTTTGTACCAGCATCATCAGCAAAAATACATGTCCTGGATGGGATCTACACCCGGATGGGTGCTTCTGACAGTATTCAGCAAGGGAGAAGCACCTTCCTAGAAGAACTAAGTGAGACTTCACATATACTCCATAGGTGCACAGAGCATTCCCTGGTTATCATTGATGAGCTCGGGAGAGGTACTAGTACACATGATGGTATGGCCATTGCTTATGCAACATTGCATTATCTTCTGAAGCAAAAAAGAAGCATGGTCCTCTTTGTCACTCACTATCCAAAGATTGCCAACCTGGCAACTGAATTTCCTGGCTCTGCAGCAGCATATCACGTATCTCATCTGACCTCACATGATGATACAAACAAAATCTCCAACTTGGATCATGATGTCACTTATCTATACAAGCTTGTACTCGGTGTTTCAGAGAGGAGTTTTGGATTTAAGGTTGCCCAGCTTGCACAGGTAGATTCATGAAATTATATATTATAATTACTATTGCACTACTGCCAGAGCAATTGGCTGATTTTATTTGAGTTGATAAGAAATGTGACACAAATTTTCTTCAAAGAGTTAGTCCATTCACTGCAGCCAAAATTAGGGCTAGCAAATTTGGAGGTTGCCTTAGCATTCTGACTACTGCTGTCTCTAATGATTAAACTGTCAAAACTTCTTATATATTGAATATCATTTTAAGACAGTTCGAAATATTATGCTTTTCAGTTACCATCACAGTGCATCAGTCGAGCTATTGTCATGGCTTCCAAATTAGAAGCGCTAGTAAACAGTAGAATTCACTGTAGATTGGGAAAGGAACTACTGATGGATACGCAGGTGATTGATCAAGAGCAAGAACAGCTTATGGCTCAACCACAAGATTGTTCATGTCAAGAGTTTGGTATAGCTTACAAAGATTTCTATTTAAACTTAAAAGCTGCAATACAAGATGATAACCATGCAAAAAGTTTTCAGCTTTTGGAGCATGCTAGAAGCATTGCAAAGAAACTAATTGGCAGGTGAAGTACACTTTTCCTTTCAATTTTCTAAAAGAACGGGTATTGTTCTCTAGTTTGTATCTTATTGATAATAACTTAATAGCTCCCTTCAGCTTATCAAATATATTGATACTTTTACCATCTAAGAAGAGGATTTCTGGCTTGCATGGTGACAAGATTATCAGTTTAGACCTTTTGACTTTTTTTTTTCCTTGCTAGATATTATCCATATAATATATTTACCATCATAAATAACAAAATAGCTTTGGTAATTATATTTGATTGATTAACTGATTTGTTTGTGGTTGATGATAGGAGTAACTTCAAATTTTCCATCACAACCCTAATCATTTTTCTTATACTTTAACAGATCAATGCAATATGTATGAGATAACATGCAGGAGCAAGTTCGGGTCTCCTCCATTGTGGAAGAATGTTTATAATATTTTAGTTTTGTTAACATCAAACCTGAGGACTGATTTTAAGCATATAAATATAGTACATTTTATTGAGAAAGAAGTATTTATTAGATTCTTGTATTCTTGATGTAATAGATACCTTTTTTTTAATAAACATTTATCACCTTTAGTTGCTTAAAATCAGCCTTGATGTTAACATTTTTCATTATATCTTGCATAAAAAATTTTGCTTCTTTATGCCCTCCTGCCTTGTATATATTTTTGTAATGGTTGCGGTTATGCTTAGGAATTGATTTTATTCATTGCGATGTATATTGATGTCCTAATTTAAGAGTCCGCTAGTCACGATGATGTCATTTACTTTTTGTCGAAAACAGTTGAGGTTAACGATATGATTTGTGTTAATGGAAACTGGACAAACAGGACAGTCATCCTTAATTATTTCGTATTAATGAAAAAAACTTTAGCTATCTGTAGAGCAAGCCTTTCAGCTGGAGTAGAAAATGTTTATGTACATACAATGATAAGCAAAAATTAATAAACAAGAGTAAAATTTATCCTATGTCCTTCAAAATATTTATTTAATATTATAAAATATGTTTACTTGGGTCATTAAGTTTTTATCGATATGTAAGTCTCGGATGAGTAATTAGGTCCCTTTGGTCTTTCAGTGCGGCATATGGTCGTCGTCAATCTGACATGTTGATTTCTCTCCTCTACTACTTAGTAGTACATGTACAGGTATTCTATTTAAAAATAAATAAATAAATAAATAAATATATATATATATATATATATAACTTGATAATTGAAAAATAAATTTTTAATGACACATTTTATCAAGTATTTTTTATCATTTGATAGACAACTTTAAGCTGACACTTTTAAGTTAGCTTTATTGTTAATTTTGTCAAACATAACTGTTCATCTTTTTTATTAAGCACTTCACAATTTAATGAAGTAATGAATGGTTAAAAACCAAGCTAGTAAATATTAACAAGCTAAATTTTTTTAATTTATTTGTATTTAAACGAAATGTTCATAAATAAATTTTAAAATCTACTTTATCACTTTTTTTGAGTTGCAGGACATAAATTGTGAGTATACGGATTTAATCTCCTACGGTACGTTTTGTTCTTTTCCATTCTCTCATCCCTTTAACAATACCTGTTAGGAGTCTTTCTCAAGAGAAATAAAATAAAATATTACTTTGTCACCATTCTTAAGTGTGAAATAGCCATTGGTGTGCATATCACATGTTTAAAGGGAAAGTTTTTCACTTGAACTCACAAAGAACTTTTGGCACCATCCATGGGAAGTTTGTGATTTGATTAAAAAATCTTCATCTATAGCTATTCATTCATGTCTTCACAGGTTCTGGTAGGTTTGTATATCAATCAGTATGGATTTAATATACAGCTTTAACAAATACATCGACCTCACATCTCTCAACTTGAAAGAGTAAGAGATATTGGAATCAATTCCGTTTCCGTAAACTCTCATTGGTGAAGTGATCTAATTGATTAATTATATCGTCTATGTTCATGTGTCTACTGATTCCTAAAATGCAAATTCATTATTTTAACCCTTGAAAGAGAAGTATGAGATGAAAATTAATCCGTGCTCTTGCTCTGTAGTGGGATTAAGATTTGTGATTTAAAACGTTTTTAATCTTGATGCTGTTCAAGTACATGCTTCAAGATTTGTGATTTAAGACAGTTTTAACCTCAAGAGTAATAATTAGAGATAACATATTTTAAAATTTATTATAATTCTCTCTTTTTTTTTAAAAATTGATTCTTCATTGTTTTTTTATTTTTATTAACACATTTTTTATTAAAGATTATATTTTTCAAAATCGTGTAAGATTTCTCTCCAGTGTTTAACACAGGCTCTGATTCTTTAAAAATAGGTATTTTATTTTTTAAAAAATAAATCTCTTATTAATTATTTCTTTTAAAAAAAATCTTATAATTTTTTTTAACCTTTTTTTCACTGGCCTAGATTTTAAGCCTATATTTACATTGAGTGGACATGTGTATCCACTTGATCACGGGGAGAAGTTAGGCTAAATTAGAAGCTGGGCTTTGTCACTCTTGCTTTGAATCCCATAACACTTGAACGACAATTCAGCTTAATCTACCCAAATTCGCTATCGAAATTTACTTAATAGCTGAATTTTGACATTACTTATGAGAATACATTAACTAATCAACAATCGACGATCTCGCGTGTCCAGACAAAACTGTTGAATCACAAATGTCTTTGTTGACTTGATGGATTTTTACATTATGGCTAAATGGTTGTGTTACGTGAAAATGACGTTTAGTTATACTTAATTAGACACTCCAATATGGATGTAATCACTACTTAGTGTCAACTATCACAGCGTGCAGCCCAAATATCAGGTGCCATGGCAACACACGAAAATAAAAATTGAAGTTATCTTAAAATTATAATTTATCTATATTTACATAAATAATTGATTTTTTTTTCAATATAAACTACCAATATCCTCCACAAAACCAGGTTATATAATGGGATACAATATTTATATTCATTCATTTAATAAAAAAAAAGTAGAAATTTATTATTAGAAAGTTATTAAAGAATTGTTCTGCGAGACCATATCATATCTTTGACAAGCTTGTTATCAATGGAGACGCCACAATTGGCTAATTAGACGCCGCATTAGACAATGGCGCTCAAGGAAGCTTGCAATCAATATGACTAGGAATAAAATAAGAAAAATCCTAATGATATACTCTTCTTAACTACTTTTTATTATTTATTAAAATTTATTGAAAATTAAAAAATATAAGAAAAAATATTAATTTAGTAATAAAAATAATGAAACTCGTATAATTTTTAATAAATTTTGATCTATAATAAAAAATATGTTAAAAAAATATATATGTATAATCATGAAAACCGACTTTATGCCATGATTTTATCACTTTAACCCTTCAATATATGTTAATAAAAAAATTAAATGAATAAACGGTGAGATTAATGTAATTGATACTGTTCATTTAGAAAAAAACATTGTCACAGGTTTTGAGACTTATAAATTAAAATTTTAATTTTAAAAGCAAATGCACGATTTATATTTGCAAATAATGGATTGAGACATCAAAGACGAAATTCATATACAATAATTTTTTCATAGAAACGAATGGTCGAAATTAAATGCGTTAGTTGTTTTTTTTTTTTTTTTTTTTTTTTTTTTGAGACGTAGTTACTAGAGAAATCTTTTTCTTTACGGAGAGAGAATGTTCCATTCCAATTAGATAAATTTGTTAAATACTTAAAATGTACCTAAATTAATATTTTAAAAAATTACTACTAACTTAAGTATTTAAATAATGAATTTAGTATTCAAATATTTTGAAAGACTGAATAACATTAAAACATATAGTCAGAAAATAAATTCGAGTCTTTTTCTTATTTTTCATTTGAGACCGGCAATTTCTATAAATCGATAAGTGGGATAGACTTAGACAAAATTCTTAAGTTATATTTGGATAAGTCATTATTTCAAAATTACTATAATTTATATATTTAGATAATAAAAAAATTTATTGTTTTTATAATTTTAAAATATTAAACTTTTTACATATATTATTTATTTTTGACTCAGATGACTGAAATGTGAATATTTATTCGTAATATTTTTTTATGATTTAAACTAATAGAGAATTTGAATAATATTGTTATTTGTAAAATGAAATAGGAGGATGGACATAGGTTAGGTAAATAGGTATTAGTATTAGACATAGCAATGGCATAGACAAACAAATCCAATAGATTGACTGACATATATCTAAGGCTGCCGTTACGTTAATGTGAGCAGTCCACTTCAATCTGCCAACTATTCATTTGTCACCAAACTCAACATACCAATCCAACCTCTGACGTCAATTTTTTTAATTATGAATAATAAATATTTTATTATTTTAGATTATAAATATTTTCATTTAAAATATTTAAAACAAAGTTATATGATAATTATGAATCACTGAAAGTTATGTATTTATTACACAAATGGATCCATTAAATACATAAGATTCCATTTAATTTTATAAATGAATATTTTTCTTAATCTTATATTAATTAAGTAAAAAATTCGTACGAGATTCTTTATTTATTTATTTTGCCAACAGTTTCCATTTCATGACCTAAGCGAAGCCCTTTTTCGTAATTTCCGACGATCCCTTGGAATCCGCATCTACATCCACCTTTCTCTTCCTCAGTTACATGTTTCGGTAATTATTAAAAAGAAAAAGAGAGAGAGAAAAGAACCAAAAACCATGAAAAACGCCTCAAAACCTTTGCACTTGTTCATCTTCAGCTCAGCTACTCAACAACGACAACACCCTCATCCAAACCGCACACTACTTCTGTTGTCTGAAGGTTTGTATCTTCTCTCTCTTCTGTCGGTACTGTGCTCAAAATCACACATACATGCTTGTACTTGTACATCTGGGCTCGTTCGTGTGTGTGAAAAAGATAGAAAATTGGAGTCACAGGGGATTAGATCTTCACCTTAGACGACCAAGCCAGAATTTTTTTAGTTTTCAAAATATGTGTTTTTTGTTTTTTTATTTATGGGTTTTAGAATTTGGTTGATCAGGTTGGTTGTGCTGATTGGTCCTAAACCTGTTTCTGTTTTTGATTCGGCGGCGCTTTCAAGATCTGGTGCGAGTGAATTACAATTTTATTTAGTTGAAGGTTTGTGTGTAGGAGAGGGTCATGGAATTATCAAGTTGGCACAAGTGACTGAGTGAGGCATGAGTAAATTGGACTTGGGGGTTTAATTGAATGAGTGCCAATTGTTCTTTTGGGGTTAAGTAATTTTGTTCAGTATGATTAATTATTCATTTTCCCATTGATTTGATACCCAATTTTCATCTCAATGATCAAGTTTTGGTTTTGCGTGAATTTGGGTTAGACGGCTAATGATCAACTCCGCCAATTGTTTCCTATCTCTTTTTTCTGCTTATGTTACGGTCCCTTGTGATCTTGACTTGTAGATGAATGATGATAACGATTATGATGACATTTTCTAATCAAAGATCTATCTGAATTAAAGAAATTTGTTGGGCATGTTTAGGAGCATCATGGTGTGAACTTAATGATGTTTACTAAGGAGGTTTTGGGAATTGTGAATTGCTTTGTGGAGATGCTATTTTAGTGATTTAACATTCTAACTATGCTTAATTTGCAATTACGGCAAAAATTATCGGAGTTCAATAACCATCGGCCATGGTTGTATCCATGGTGTTTCTCGATATCGATGAGTATGAACTTGTCTCTCTCTCTCTCTCTCTTTTTCTTTAAAAATATTTCCATGGAGGGAAGGTAAAAGATTATTAACCTCTGCACATTAATCAGAACTTATACTGATTCTTAGTAGTACTGCCAATTATTGAATGGCAATGATCGTCAAAGACTCACAGTATACACTAGCACTAAGGAAATAGTATCCCTCCCATTAATTTGTGGAATAACGAACAAAGAAATGGCCTTCCTCAAAATTTGTGATATGAAACAAAGTTGGGCTTGTATATTTGAAAATATTGATTCCTAAGTCCAAAAGAATTTGAGTATAACAAGGTATTTGTGAGCTTAAAGCCTGAAACCTTAATTTTTTGTGAGAAAAGGGCTAGTATCTCATGATCAATGTTATTAACCCTTTAAAATTGAAATTTACTCCTTAATTTTTCTGCCATATAAGTAATGATAACATTTGTTTAGAGAAATAAATCTTTGTATATTTCACCTTCTCTTACCTTTGAAAATGTGGTATTGGTAGAAAGGAGACTTTAAACATTAACAGTTAGAGGAACGTTGGAGCATGAAAAGATGAAAACCCCTATGAACTGAAGAAAGAAGACTGAAAGCTTTAAAGCACCAAAAAAAAAAAAGTTGGTCATTTATCTATTTAATCCAAGAATGTGGCCATCTGGTCATTATATGAAAAATTGTCATAAACTTAAGACCAAAGACCGAAGCTTAAAAAGACCCAAATAAATTAAGGTTCTTAGTTTAAATTGATCATGTATTTCTCTGGTTCAAAGATGTGGCAATCTGATGATACTTGTAACTGCTATTACCCTCTGGTTATTTCAGAACTTTTATTCTTCTTTTCTGTACTGCTATTAGTTTTTCACTTTAATGGGTTAAACTTATCACTGGTTTTTAATTTGGTTTCTGTAGGTGTTTCTTTGCACTGAAATTCAGTAAGAATTTTGGAAAGTCGGCATCATGGAAGATGGTGACTCTAACATAAGGAGATGGGAGGATCTGGACATTGATATTTTGGTGAAGATTTTTCAGTTGCTTGACATTTTTGAGTTGACATCTGGCATCTCCCGTGTCTGTAGTGCATGGCGCATGGCTTGCTGCGATCCACTTCTTTGGAAAACACTTGATTTGTCGATGTTAAAATCGAACTTCATCAAGATCCCATTAGAGCCCTTTGTTTATGTTGATGGACGATCGGATAGGACATTAACGCGTATATTGAAGATTTCTTTGTGTCTCAGCAGGCAGAGTATAATGACTTTGATCTTCCATTTTAACTTGTACGTAAGTGATGAACAGTTGACATACACTGCAGAAAGGTAATTTCAATATTCAAAATCAATATATCTATGCATTATATTTAGAGTATAAACCATATAAAGTCAATAGACACAGGTTGTATGTAACACATGAATATTTATAACCTTCTTGTAGAATATGAAACATCTTAATGTTGCTTGATATTGAGGCAATAACTTTATGAGAAATATGTTTTTATGAGACATTTTATTTTCTCTGGATCGCTTTAAAGTATCTGAAAATAATAAACTGCTAACAAAATTTGTAGGATAGTTTAGTGTATTTCAATTTTAAGGGGGGGGGGGGAGTGGGGGTGGGGAGGGGGTGCAGTTATTAACTCTTGTTCAAAATGGAGATTGCATATGTGGCTTGTCTAAATCGCTAATCATGTCCCTTTCGCAGGTGCCCACGACTCAAAAGACTTGTTCTGCCAGCTTGGAACAGAATCAAGAAGCAAGGAATGTGCAAGGCTATCCGTGGCTGGAAAGAGTTAGAGTCCCTTACAATGCCCACTATAGCAAATCCACCATATATTCTGGAAGAAATCTCAAGGCACTGCAAGAACTTCAGTGAACTCAAGATCATGGGGCCATGTGACTATTTCTTTGCTTCATCTCTTGCTACATATCTTCCAAAATTAAGAGTTTTGAGCCTTCGGTGCTCAATGCTATATAAGGATGTTCTCATTCTCATCCTTGAGAGCTTGAAACATTTAGAAGTGCTAAACATATCACATTGCGTTTTGGTGGAAGCCCTTCCACCTCCTCAACATAGAAGAATTGTTAAAGAGATTGATGAGTCTATTCGTGAGAAGGCTTCTCAATTACGTGAATTTCTCACATGCATGGAAGACTCGTGCATCATGTGCCAACGAACAAGAACTGACGAAGGGCTGGTTAGGTGGTACAAATACGAGGAAGGGCTTTGGAAAACAGATGAGGTGAGGTCTCTCGCACTTTAAGCAACAAAATCGATCTGGTAGTCTTCTAGTTGTTGCTGCTTATGTAACATTTTCTGTTGTTTAGTTACTCTGCTATCTTAAGTGTAGATCCAAATAAACAAAGTTAATTCTTGCAAATGAATGTTGAAAGCCCTTTAGGAGTTAGCCAAATCTTGTAACTGTATATAGGAATAATAAGTTCTGTATTCTGTAGTCGGTATCATTTTGAGAAGTGTTTTCTATCATGAAAATTTGCTTAGACAGCAGTTTTGGTTCTTTAAGAATACAATGAATTTTGTTTTGGGCTATGTTTGGTCCTATCATTTGTAAGTAGTGATGCTATCAACTAGTCTTCACAGATTTTCCGAGTTCGAAGTGAATAACAACAGTGTACAGGGTGAGGGCTGATAGTCTGAATTTGGAGCTTATGTTTAGCTGTTTTGGTAATAAGTGAAATTTATATTAATCCTACCATAAAAATTTCATTAATTTTTTGTAATAATAAAATGTGTCAAACTTGAACCAATGCAATGTCTAAATTTATATTGCCTTAATAAAAAGGAAAAAAAAAATTGTCTTCTGTTTATAAATAGAAACTAAGAAAAATGTGGGTTAAGTGTTTTTTATAAAAATATTTTTAGACTGACTCTTTCAATATTTAAGACGTTATCAATTCAGCTGTGCTGAAAAAGACCATTAAATAGCAATATCCGTATTAATTGCAGAGGATGACACCTACATTCTTCAATACGGGTTCACATGCCGTCACTTAATTTCAAATTATTTTAAATATTATAATGTTATTTCAACCTCGTTATTTTTAATTATGTCCACAAATCTAAATTTAATTTTCGTATAAAGTAAGAGACATTATCTTATCTTCGTTACTTAACTTTTCTGACCTTATCGATTATTGTACAAATAAAAAAAAGTACACCATAAACAAAACAAAAAATTACGTCATTTGAGGAGGCTTATATAAATTTGATAATTTCTTTTTTAATTTGAGATTGGGTAAGGTCAATATAATAGGTGCTTTTTTTTTACATTTATTAAAACTTAAATTCAAATTTAGAACAACATTTTATTAATGAATTTATGTGATTGATAGTTATATGTTCAAATATTTTAAACTCATAAGTTTTATGCGTGTATATATATAATCTAAACAAGTAAAGTATAATATTGTCATTATTTTCTCTTATTTTTATTCATTCAAACAATATTTTTTTTCATCTCATTTTTTATAAATGTATTTTTTAATTATATTTTTTATTACATCCAAATATATCATTAAAAAATAAATTGAATGATTAACATGATTCAATAAATAAATCATATACAATTCAATCTGAAATGAAAAAAAAAAGGGCAATTTTGGAGAAAATTTGTCTTTAAAAATATTTGAGTTGAGCACTTTAAAAAAATTAAATTGTTACAATGATAATATTTTAAAAATTTATAATTTAAAAAGTTTTTAAATATTTAAAATATCCATATTAGTCTTTCAAAGAATAAAAAAAATATCATAATGAATTAAATATGTGAAAAAATTAAACTAAATCAATCTTAATAAAAAAACTAAAAACTAAAAAAAATTATAAAAAGAAATTTAAGAGTATGTTTAATTACTATTTTAAAATCAGTTTTCTATTTTTAAAAACAAATTTTAATATAAATTTATACTATAATTTATTTTTAAAAATAGAAAACTAATTTTAAAATAATAATCAAACATACCCTAAATATTTAATATAATAACAGTTTAATTTAAAAAAAAAATTGATATGTTAACATTTTTTCAGAAGACCTTTTTAGTCAATTCGGTGATAGATGTTGAATATTATAATGAACAAAAATTGTACCACCATTCGTTACCTCATTAATCAAACGATGATCATAACTCATAAGCATGGGAAAGAAGGCACATGAATCAAGGAATTCATATATGGAGAGATTGGAGATCAATATCACAACATGGGTTTAAACAAACAGTATTTTGAATTACCAATATTTCATACTTTTCATTTGCAATATATCTTCGTTGAATCTAAAATAATGGCAATTTTTTTTAAAGATCTGTTTTAGTGATAAAATAAGGTTTTTTTTTTATAAATAATTTGATAAAATTTGTCTTCTAAAAAACAATTTAATGATAAATTAAATTTTTAACAGATATTTTTAATAATAATTTTTAAATATATTTTCAGTAAAAATTTATTTATTTTTCACAATAATGGGTATCTTAAATTTGTATAAATACGTTAAAAAAAACAGATAATCAACAAATGCACGTATATTTTCAATAAAAATAAAACTTATACTTTTTTATTCATCAAACATAAGTTCAATCATGGAAAGAAAAAAAAAGGAAAAAGAAAAATCACCGATTTCTAGACTTTTATTAGTTTTAAATGGAGATTAAACTAAACAAGAAACATATTTTATTAAATAAATTTTTATTAAGAAAAAATTTAATTTTTTAAATAATTCTGAATCTTTCTATGCATGTTTTTATTATTTCTTATACTTATTAGATGAATAAAACAATTTTTATACTTTTTAAGTATTAAATACATATTTTATTTAACATTTATTTATAAGACAAGCATATAAGAATCATGTTATTTGTGATATTTCTTTATTACCACAAATTATTTATTTTTTATTAATTGTGGTAGCTTTTATTCTATAATTAATGAATATGACAAATTAAAACTAAACAAATAGCTAAATAATTAAAATAAAATAAAATAAAATTTAAAACATTAAAACAAAATAAAGAATAAAATAGAGCACCAAAATATTAATTTTGTCTGTATTTATTAAATTATTTTTTAATTTCTAGTTAGTTGGCATTAAAAATATAATATTTTTATTAATTAAATTGGTAATTTATTATTGAGAATAAAAAATATAAATATTTTTAATAAAAACTTATTAATTTTAAGTATTTAAAAATCAACTATGTAAATATTTTCTTTCAAAAAAATGTTAGAACATTTTTACATACTACAAGAAGATTAGTCTTTTCCATTCGATATTCCTTATTTATTCACAATAAATATTAGAAAAAAATTAAATAATTCAATTAAATTAGCGAAATAAATGGTTGGGTCCATGGCTGGTGGGGGTTAGGTGCAGCGAGAAGAGACAAGAAAAACAACATAAAACCCTCAAGACTCTAAATTGATTATTTGTTTATCAAAATCTTCATACTTCTTCCCTTATTCTTCTCTCTCAATCTCAAACACGTGGTCATGGCTTTGCAACTGTGGGAGACTCTCAAGGACACCATCGTCGCCTACACTGGCCTCTCTCCTGCTACCTTCTTCACGCTCCTAGCGCTTTTTTACGCCCTTTACTACGTCGTTTCGGGTCTGTTTGGCTCTTCCTCCGACCACCACCACCTCCGCATGGAGGACAACATGCCGCCACTGCGTCCACCGGTTCAGCTCGGTGAGATCACCACCGAGGAGCTCAGGGCCTACGACGGCTCCGATATCCAGAAGCCCTTGCTCATGGCTATCAAGGGTCAGATCTATGATGTCTCCCAGAGCAGGTTTAACATAACACACAACACACCCCTTTTCTTCTCAACTCTATTTTTCTGTTCTTCAACTTCTTTTGGGTTTTGGGTGTTCTTTTATTTTTTGTTGAGTCAATGCCCACCTTCCAAGTTGGAATTTTTCGACGTTACTCTTGTTAAAATTTGGGTTTTGCTGCATGTTATCTGTCTTGCTTTTAAATTATTTCCATTTGTGCTTTTTCTGGTGACCTTTTGTGTGGAGGTGCTGATACAATTTGAATTTTTTGAGTCTGAGTTACTTTTGCTTTTGTAAAGGTTAGATTTGTCCTTTGGTTCGCGGGGTTCCTTTTGTTGTTCCTGTGACATGTGATGGGTAGAGGACATGCTTCTCATGTTATTATGTTGAAAATTGGAAGGTGGGAATTGAAAGGTTAAATGCGGGATTTATAGAATGTTGTGATGAAGTTCTGTTTCAGTTTTCAAAGCTACTTTTTCATCTTCTTCATTTTTGTAGTAAACTCTAGTGTGTGCTTGGTTGAGTTGGTGGAAAGTAGAAATGACGTAGAAGGGTAACCCCAAAGCTACTCTCTTTGACAGAGTTCTCTCTAATGCAATAGTCTCCGACTCACATTCGGATAATAGGAACGGAAATCGATTATCAATTTTTTTGGGTCAAAATCAAAGCTGTTAACTGTTTACAAAAATAGCCTATTTTTAGGCTAAATAAACTATAATTCCAAATGGCCCAAAATAGAAAAGTCAACAAAATTGAAAATTCCTAAATTGAAAAATAATCTCTAATCAAAACCCCTATTGTAAAATTAAATCCCTAATTGATATAAAAAAGCCCAATCTACATCAGGAAACTTAGCGTTTACTCCTTTTTTTTTCTGTGTGTTTATCTGCACTTCAACGTTGCTCAGAGTTGACAAAATGTAGTACTCATATGATCTTAATGTCAACGGAATTAATGAGAATTAATGGAAAACAGAATTGTATGGGATTGATTGCACAATTATTTGTAACGGTTATTCTTTTATTTAACATAATTAGCTATAAATGTATATATGGTAGTTTAGCTGATTTATTGGGCTGAAATCAACGTTACAGCTTGTAATATTACTGTATTTATATGAGCAATCTGAATGAGAAGGACACACAGTTCTTGGCCAAATATTTTCTTAATTTGACATGGTATCAGCTTAGGTTACGATTCAAGAACCTCGCCTACGTTCTCGGTTTTTTTTTTCACTTCTATTTCTCGGTCATTTGCTTCCCAGTCCAGATTACTCTAGTTCCATGTCTATCGAAAAGCACGATGTCCTGTTAGTTCGCCTTAACGGCAAAAACTACTCAGCTTGGTCATTCCATTTCGAGATATTCGTTACAGGAAAAGATTTGTGGGGTTATGTTGATGGCAACACTCCAATCCCTGACAAAGACAAAGATAAGGTTGAACATGCCAAGTGGGTAGTCAAAGATGCTCAGGTCATGGCCTGGGTCCTTAGTTCCGTTGACCCCAACATTGTTTTGAATCTTCGTCCTTACAAGACAGCAGCCAAAATGTGAAATTACTTAAAAAAAGTCTACAGTCAAAAGAACACTGCACGACGATTTCAGCTTGAGCACGACATAGCTTCCTTTCAACAGGATAGTCTCTCCATCTCTGATTTTTACTCTCAATTCATGAATCTTTGGGCTGAGTACACTGATATAGTTTATGCAGACTTAACTTCTGAAGGTCTAAGTTCAGTACAAACTATTTATGAAACGACTAAACGAGATCAATTTCTTATGAAATTGAGATCTGACTTTGAAGGTATTCGGTCCAATCTCATGCATCGTGACCCTGTACCATCTTTGGTTGCGTGTTTCAATGATCTGTTACGTGAAGAACAACGCCTCCATACACAGTCCATCATTGCAGATCAAAAATCATCTACTGTTCCAATGGCATATGTGGCACGAGGGAAGTCAAGAAGTCATGACATGAGTGCTGTTCAATGTTTTTGTTGCAAGCAATTTGGACATTATGCTTCCAATTGCCCAAAAAAATTCTGCAACTACTGCAAAAAGCATGGACATATTCTTAAGGAATGCACAATAAGGCCACCACAGCGAAATGTCACAGCCTTTACCGCCGCAATTGATTCATCTATTCCTGACAATTCAGTCAATGCAGTACCAGTTCAACCAAATCCTCTTGCTACTACTTCAACGGTGACTCCTGAAATGGTTCAACAGATGATTATTTCAGCATTCTCTGCTTTAGGAATCTCAGGTAAATCCTCTTCATCTTGGTACTTTGATTCGGGGGCTTCCAACCACATGACCAACAATGCTCAATTTCTTACAAATGTGAAAAAATATTTGGGCACTCTCAACATACATACCGCTGATGGAAATCAATTGCCTATCACAGCCACGGGTGATATTTCTTCATCTCTCACAGATGTTTTTGTCTCTCCTGGCCTCACTAGTAATCTAATTTCAGTTGGTCAATTAGTCGAAAATGATTGTCAAGTACAATTCTCACAGTCTGGTTGTCTTGTGCAGGATCAACACTCAGGGAAGATCATCGCGAAGGGGCCTAAAGTTGGACGTCTTTTCCCAATCCGTTTCTCATTACCTCCAAGTCTTTCTTTGCCTTTAGTTTCTTGTAATTCTGCCTTTGTTGATTACCAAGTGTGGCATAAGCGTCTTGGACATCCAAACGCAAATGTACTTCATGACTTGCTAAAATCTGGTTTTTTTGGAAATAAACACACTCCATCTCTTAATGTTGTTCATTTTGATTGTATTCCTTGTAAGCTTGGTAAGAGTAAAATTCTGCCTTTTCCAACTCATCAGTCTCATACAACACAACCTTTTGATATCATCCATAGTGATGTTTGGGGGGTGGCACCAGTTATATCTCATGCTAATTACAAATATTTTGTAACTTTTATTGATGATTATAGTCGTTTCACCTGGGTCTATTTTTTGCGATCAAAAGATGAAGTTTTTTCTACTTTCAAAATTTTTCATGCTTATGTTCAGACTCAATTTTCATCAAAAATAAAAATATTTCGCTCTGATAATGGAAGTGAATATATGTCACACTCATTTCAGGAATTTTTGCAATCCAATGGCATTTTATCTCACAGGTCATGCCCCTCAACTCCACAACAAAATGGGGTAGCGGAAAGAAAAAATCGCCATTTGCTAGATGTTGTTCGCACCCTTTTATTGGAATCTCATGTGCCTTCACGTTTTTGGTGTGAAGCCCTTTCCACTGCAGTCCATCTTATAAATAGAATGCCATCTCCATCATTAGGTAATGAATCTCCATTCACTCGGTTACATGGTCACCCACCAAATTACTCCACTCTTCGTATCTTCGGTTGTGTGTGTTATGTCCATCTTCCTCCACAAGAACGCACCAAGCTCACTGCACAATCTGTTCAATGTGCTTTTCTTGGATATTCTCCTCATCAAAAGGGCTTTCTATGTTATGATCCTAACCTTCGTAGAATTCGGGTATCTAGAAATGTCATCTTCCAAGAACATACATATTTTTTCGCATCACATCATGATCATGTTGCTTCTCCGATTTCTGTTTTGCCATTGTTTTCCAACTCTCATGCAGGTCAACAATCTCCTAAACCTCTCTTGACATAAAAAAGACGTAGTACTACCACTCACATTCAACCAATTGACTCTCATGGGCCCCCTCAAGATGATTCCTTGGCTGCTGGTCCAGTAGAAGAACTAGAACCAGAATCGGCTCCTCTACGACGCAGCTCACGCGTTCGTAAGCCCCCAGAAAGGTATATCACTTCCATGACAGCATCGTTATCTTCTATTCCTATTCCTTCATCTTATAAACAGGCCATGGAGAATGAATGTTGGCAGCGAGCTATTGAAGCTGAACTTCTCGCCTTGGAAGAAAATCAAACATGGGACATAGTCCCATGTCCATCATCTATTAAACCTTTGGGAAGCAAGTTTGTGTTCTCTATAAAGTTGCGTTCGGATGGCTCTATAGATCGTTATAAGGCTCGTTTAGTTGTGCTTGGAAATAAGCAAGAGTATGGACTAGACTATGATGAGACGTTTACCCCAGTCGCCAAGATGACAACTGTGCGCACTATTCTTGCTCTTGCTGCATCACAATCTTGGCAGCTACATCAAATGGATGTCAAAAACGCATTCCTTCACGGTGATCTTCAGGAGGAAGTTTACATCAAACTTCCTAATGGTATGCCTACACCTTCGCCTAATACTGTTTGCAAACTAAAACGATCTTTATATGGATTGAAACAGGCACCAAGAGTATGGTTTGAAAAGTTTCGATCGACATTACTTGGTTTTGAATTCACTCAAAGTCAGTATGATCCATCTCTTTTCCTACAAAGGACTCCTCAAGGAATTGTGGTGCTTCTCGTTTATGTGGATGACATTGTGGTAACTGGCTCCGATCAAGATGCTATCTCAAGAATCAAACACCTACTGCATTCAACTTTCCATATGAAAGAGTTAGGCCAACTCACTTATTTTTTGGGTTTAGAGGTGCATTATCATCATGAAGGCATTTTTCTAAATCAGCAAAAGTATATTCAAGACTTGGTTCAGCTAGCTGGACTCACAAATGCAACCCCTGTTGACACTCCCATAGAAGTTAATGTTAAATATAGACGAGATGAAGGTGACCTTCTAGATGATCCCACTCAATATCGCAAGCTGGTGGGAAGTCTCATCTATGTAACTATCACTCGTCCCGATATTTCTTTTGCTGTCCATACAGTAAGCAAGTTCATGCAATCTCCACGGCATTTCCATCTTTCAGCAACACAACGAATCGTTAAATATCTCCTTGACACTCCAAAGCGTGGTTTATTTTTTCCTACTGGTTCATCAATGCAACTCCAAGCATATAGTGATGCTGATTGGGCTGGATGTCCAGACACCCGAAAATCTACTACCGGCTGGTGTATGTTTTTAGGAAATGCTCCTATTTCATGGAAATGTAAGAAACAAGATTCAGTCTCAAAGTCATCCACTGAAGCAGAATATCTCGCAATGTCTGCCGCTTGTTCTGAAATTATATGGCTGCGTGGTCTTCTTACAGAGCTTGGATTCTCTCAAGAACAACCAACTCCATTGCATGCTGACAACACCAATGCCATACAGATTGCAGCAAACCCAGTTTACCATGAACGGACGAAACACATTGAGGTTGATTGCCACTCTATTCGAGAAGCTTATGATCGAAGAGTCATCAATCTACCATATGTCTCAACATCTGTTCAAATCGTTGACATTTTCACTAAATCCTTGACACGTCAACGACACAATTTTCTACTTGGCAAATTGATGCTTGTAGATTTACCAGCATCAATTTGAGGGGGGATGTCAACGGAATTAATGGGAATTAATGGAAAACAGAATTGTATGGGATTGATTGCACAATTATTTGTAACGGTTATTCTTTTATTTAACATAATTAGCTATAAATGTATATATGGTAGTTTAGCTGATTTATTGGGCTGAAATCAACGTTACAGCTTGTAATATTACTGTATTTATATGAGCAATCTGAATAAGAAGGACACACAGTTCTTGGCCAAATATTTTCTTAATTTGACACTTAATTCTGAATGGGCTGAGCTTTGATGGAGTTTGAATTAGATGCTATTTTGAGTATCTGAGTAATGTAATATCAGTCATTTTCTTCCTTTGTAACTGTAAATTTTGGTTTTTGTGCATGTTTAATTTTTACCTGGAAGTGGTGTTTTAGGGTAATTTATAAATTAGTTCTGTTTACTTTGGCCATCCCGCTATTTATCCCAATCCCAAATCAAGTGGACCTATAAAGCTTGGACTTTCTTACAATTGTTTACGGCATATATCATGAAAGGAATACAAGAGCATCTAATTTATGTATAGATACAAAGTCATCGCTCCTAATTTACTGTTTGTATGAACAATCGAAAGGATTGCAGCATGGTTACTTGTTATTTCATCGGAAGCCAACCCATTCTGAGACCCTTTTATGCCCTAATGAGCAGATATGTGTTTTTGTCCATGGTGTTTCATTTAATTTTGATTACAAGAAGTGTCATTTGTTTTCCTAGTCATGTTGTCTGTTTGATCTGCTCTAGCTAGCAGCAGGAGTTTCAAAGTCTTAAAAGTATGAAACTTGACACAATATTGAGTATGAACCTTGCCTTCATCATGAGAGTACTTTTTAAAAAACTGATATCCAAGAAACTGAAGTGATACTTGACTTTGCTTGACGACGCTGTCCCTGTAAGAATGAAATATGTATGTATATATTGGCTGTTTTTTTTTTAAATGTTTACTTAATAGAATTCCTTTACTACTATTTTATCACCTGGAAATCTGTCCTTTCAGAATGTTTTATGGACCCGGTGGACCTTATGCCCTTTTTGCTGGCAAGGATGCAAGCAGAGCTTTAGCAAAGATGTCTTTTGAAGATAAAGATCTGACGGGGGATATTTCTGGTCTTGGCCCATTTGAACTTGAAGCTTTACAGGACTGGGAATATAAGTTTATGAGCAAGTATGTAAAGGTTGGAACTGTCAAAAGTACTGTTCCAGTGACTGAAGCAGAATCCACCGGTGAACCATCAGAATCTACTTCCCGTGATGTTGATGCCGTCAAGTCTACTGAAGATGGCTCATCAGAAACTACAGCTGTTAAAAGTGATGAAACCCCTTCCAATGTTGATGCAGATAAAGAATAATGGCTGGGTTGCCTCACAAATACCCTTGCAAAAAATGATGGAGCAGAAGAAAAAAAACTTCATAGAAGTTGCTGGAGAGACTGAGCAAATGCAGACTAGTTTCCAATGTTAGTATAGGCCACCCCTTTTGTGCTGCCTTTGGTTTGATATTTAGTCTCAAATAATAAATTGTCAATGTTAAGTTTAATTTGATCTTCCTTTTGAGTTCCATAATATGTATATCATTCAACGGCAAGAGACCTATGACATTTGGGGTCATATCTTTGGCTGAGTTGTGCTCTTTTTATTACTGAATAAAACATTCCCCTTGTGGCCAGAATAAATGAAGCATGACTCTTTTGAACTGTTCTTGATTCTTGCTCCAGGTAGTAGCTTAAAAATGCTATGAAAACAAGCAATTGGTGGTGGACGGTGTGATTGTGAACAGATATCAGCAATCTCATATAATGCTAAAAGAGTGCAAAAATGGTATTGTTTGCATAAAAATCAGGAAAAATATATTGAAAAGAAAATTTTTATCAAGGCAAGTGATTGATATTGGACAGTGTGTTACTTTCTAAGTGTTCAATGGGATCCACTTGAATGCTCTACTAAATTTGTAATGAAACCTGTGGGGATAAGGGATTCTTGTCACTTATCAACAAAAACCTCGTATATAGCTTCTGTATTTCTAATTATGCGGGTCGTTGCATTATTATTATTTTTTAAATACTAGCTAATAAATATTTGAAATGTCAATCTTTTTATGATAATGTACAGCCATATGATTCTCCTTGCCGAGGAAGTATTCTTTGTATCGTACGAAATTTTTTTTCATTAAAATAGAAAAATATGAGTAGTTTAAAATTAAGAGAAAAAGTAAATAAAAAATTATAAGGTCAATTCCAAATAAAAATAATTAAGGTTTGAGATAAAAAGTTTTAATATAAAAAATTAAAAGTAACTAAAGCTAGTGATTGAGAATTTGTAATCTTAGCATAAAAAATCAATATAAAAGAAAAATAATGAAAATAATTACTGGTTTAAGAATTTTAAAATATATATATAAAAATAAGTATTACATAACAACAAGATCTCATGTTAAAAAAAGTATAACAAATTTTCCTATTAGAAAAGAAAACTAATATTTATAATATAGAAGTTAATTTTCCAAATTTATTGGGTGAATCCAAACCTCCACTCTCTTTGATTAGGCTATGCATATGAATTTTTTGAATACTACAAAATTAGAGCTTCAACCTACTCGCATCCAAAGATGCTGCCATTTTTTCCCCCTCTTTTGAGCCTGTAGAGGTTGGGTGATCTTGGCATCCTATTCGAAGCACGGTGAAGAAGTGTACCATCCCTAACATGGATAAAAGATTCCCTCATGCTCTTTCTATCACACTTTTTGCTAAAGGATTGTTTCCTATGCGCATCAAAGAAATGATTCTGAATGTCAAACTTTATATAATATTATGCTGTTAGCTTATCTAATATTTGTTATTAAATTGAAGCAGTCTACACCTTCAGTGTTGGAAATCATGAATTGTGAGGGTCAAAAGTTACCTTGAAGAAACCAATGCAGGTGCTGAAGCAAATGAAACTCAAGATTCCGTTCAAGACCAGGCCAAAAGTCCTCGTACCAAGCAAGATTTCTTTGTTTTCAGTATTGGAATTCTTCTTGTATGTTAAATTCTGAATTCCTAATCCTACATCACAACTCACTTGCAATACAAGTGCAATAAAAATCTTTTTTGTTTCCATCTGTGGACCCACTACCTCTTTGAACTGATATTACGTATCTACCATGTATGTTGTATTATAGTGTTTCCAATGTATACGGGTACAACAGCTTTTCTCTCTACTTCAATCAAGTTGTCCTTTATTTAAGGTACTTTCAGCATTTCACCCCAAAATATAAAAAATCTAGCACTTTTTATATGCATCTTCTTTACTTCCAAGTACGTACCCTTCTCAAGTAAATTGCTTTTTATAGTGTTTGATTCGATCAAGTTATTAGGCTAACGATAGTTTTAGTCAATGGCAATAGAATAATATGCAATAATTTGCAAACTTTGTCAAGAATTTTGGTTGTTTTTTTCCCTTAATTAACAATAATGTCAATATCTTATTTATTTAACAAAGCAGCCTGCATGCCAGCTGACTTCCCTTAGTCGTATTAAATCAATTAAAATATTAAAAATATTACTAAAACGTATACTTATAGACATCACTGTTTTATCTTTCCTTTTCGTATTGGAACTTGTATACCATGTCGTTACAAAGACAAACACTGAAATACGCAAAGAATTTTGAACCTCAGTTTACATGAATTTAGCATGACAAAGCTGAACTTTCAAAACAATGTTATGAGATCAATGACGTCTAACTTCAAAGAAATTTTTGCACAGAAGAATTGACAACTTAGCACGATCATCAATGGATTACTTAAGCAGCCAATTATCGCTTTCTGAAAAGTCAAGTTTTGACATTTGGCATATGAATCACATATTGTGCTCCTCACATATTGTCCAACTATATTTATATTTTAAATTTGCTTAATTTTTCTCACTTTAGCTTCTAAGGTCGCTTGCTAACTATAGGCGCGCCAGCTTGCCATAGACTTGTACTCTACCAACAAATATATTCGTAGAAGCAACATTTCTTCTTTCAATTTCTAGTTCCTACCCTCCATCACAATCATGAGAATTCAAAAATTCTCACCCCTTCTAATGCTTTTCATCATTCTGGTGTCTTTGATGCAAGATTCAACTTCTCGTTTAGACAATCATGCTAGCCATGTAAGGAGATCAGAAAGAAAGGTTTCTTCAATGTTTACACAGAGTTATTCTGCTATTATCTCCTCTTTGAACTCCAGGAAGGGTAAGTTCAAGCAAATCCATGCAGTTTCTCGCAGGCTAGTTCCTAGTGGACCAAACCCTCTTCATAATTGATCAGCTATGGAACATCATTCATGCTTTTCCTCTGCATGGCATGCATATAAATAAATTGAGTGAGTGGTCATGAGATTAAATTTATTTGTCAGTTTTAGTGCTAGTGCATACCGCATATAGACTTGAAGAATTGTTGAAGAGTAAGTGGAAGTTCTTCAGTGATTACAGATAATAGGTAACTACAAACCAAGGCTGGCAAATATTATGTTTTTGGCTCTGGTCTTTCTGGCTGAATATATGTTTATATCATGTGATATGCTATTTTACTTTTTAAATTCTTTTTTAAAAAATGGTACCAAGAGTTCAATGGCAGATGTGATTATGTGTGTTCTTATGGGTACTTTATTCCACATATTAATTCATCCTAATTTCAGTCCCTATTATAATCGATTTTTATATGTTTCTCAACCAGTTGATAATGAGAATTTAATATCGCAAATGTTAATTTTGTGAGTTTGATTTCATCTTCAAAGAAAGAACGACCTATCCAATTTGATCCACCCCTTTAGAATCAACCATAAGGATAAGGGAAGATGTATTGGCTTTGGAATTACTATCTAGCATGTACGATGTTGCATTTGAGTATGTTTCTCTTCGTTGACCAAAATTTTCTCCGTAGCAAACTTTTCATCTGATTAATAATTGGTTTTGTTAACTTTAATTCTAAAATTTTAAATATTTATAAATATAATTTTTATTAAAACAATTACTACTTTAAAATTATATTAATTATTTTTTTAATACAAACATATAATTATTAATTATTTAAAAAAATCAATTAAAAAGGCCGGAAGGTTTATCATTTTCCTTTTAAGTATTTCTATGAAAACTGAATGGTGCAACGTCGTCCAAGTACAGAAAAATTGACTTTTTACCCGCCTCAAGTTGCCACTGCGCAGGGGAAAGACAATCGAAAATATATAATAATAATAATAATTTTAGTGTATATTTTTTATGCACAATAAAAATTTACAAATAATAATTTTATTAAAAATTATATTGGATTATATGATTTTTAATAAAAAAATATTATATAAATGCTTATTACATTTTCTGTCCCATATTAAATTTTTATTTATTAAAATAATCTGATTATAAGTGCTAGGTATACTAACTAATATTTTAATTTACTTCATATAAAAACACCGTTCTAATTTTAGGAGCCTTTGTTTCATTGAATTTTTTTATTCTTGAAAATTATGTTTATTAAAATAATATTTTATAGGAATTATGATTTTTAATTAGGAAGGTTATAAATTGATTTGGAATGTTTAAAACAAATAAAAGAACATTAAAGGATATTTAAAATGAAGAAAAGGAATGAGAATATTCTGTCTTTAATTTGGTGAATAATGAGAATGCAATTATGTCAATGATATGAGTTTAAATATATTGATGTGATAATTAAATACATTAATTATCATATCAATAACAATTATTTAATTAATATAAAAATATGAATATTTTACCAAAATGAAACACTTTACTGATGCTATAAATGATGCAAAATATGTGAAGAGTGAAACACAGCCGAATTGCATTGGAAGCATTAGAATACAAAAAGCAGAGTCACAGGCACAGACAGTTATGGGACTTCCAAAATTTCCTGCGCTTCTGATGCTACTCATCGTTCTGCTGTCTTTGATGCAAGATTCAACTTCTCATTTAGATAGCCACGGTGCCCATGTAAGGAGATCAGAAGCAAAGGTTTCTTCTATGTATACACAGAGTTATTCTACTATTCTCTCCTCTTTGAACTCTAGAAAGGGTAAGTTCAAGCAAATTCATGCAGTTTCTCACAGGACAGTTCCTTCTGGACCAAACCCTCTTCATCACAGGGTAGTTCCTTCTGGACCAGACCCTCTTCATCATTATTGATCAGACATGGGAACATCACTCTTAATAAATTAGGAATTGGTGATCATGATATCAATAGCTTGTTTGTGTTTCTACTGAAATGGAGTTGGGTAGGAATCCAAAATTATGTTACGTAAAAGTTGTCACTGGACTCCGATATTTTATCTTAATAAATGTGTAAACTCCATTTATGTATTTAAGCAAACATGCTCTATAATTTTTTTTGGGCAAGCTTAGCGCACAGTGCACACGGCGTATATTTTTTTCTCGATATTTTTTCTTGACTATGTTAAAGTTCTTCGGCGATTAAAGGTCTGCAAATATTAAGGGAGGTTCGGGTTTAGGAAATGTTTTTTTTGTTATAAAAATATTTATCTTGTTTTAATTTTATATAAATAATTGAAAATGATAAATAAAAGAAAAATTTATATAAAAATGCCTACTAAACTTAATTTTTTTAAAAGAACAGTCGAATATCTATTTGCATACTTGTTCAACCAAAATAACTTTTTAAATCAATTGTACCTTTTCTGTCAAATTTTTAAGAAGATTAACAAGTTTAACGTGCTCTTTAACAAAGTATAAATACTTATTATTGTTATAAAAGTCTTAAATATTTGTTTTCATATCAAATAATGAAATATTAGAAAATATTATATTTTTAATAAAAACATGTATCTAAGGAGGAGAGTATATTTTACCGCAACAGTAAACTAAAATCAAACTTTATTAATATAGATATAACACTGGACTGATTATTAATATTCTTAAAAAGTGGTCATAAGTTTTTTTTAAAATATTTGTCTTTCTATTTTAGGATTTTTAAATTTTCGTGTTTAAATTATTGTGAAATTATGTTTTGAGTCTCCTCGTTAGCATAATCTAATAGAAGAATAACATACAATAATTTTTTAACAAATTATATTATTGAGAGAAATTAATATATATATATATATATATATGTATGTATCAAAATTAAAAATTAAAAAAACAAACTAAAATATTGTTAAAATATACAAACTAAAAATATATTTAAACTATAAAAGAATAATTTTGATAACACCTGAAAGAACCCAGACTTCTAGATTTAAAAAGGTTCACATAACAATTAGCTAGCCTATATGATAAAAACTATTGATATATTTCTATTCAATATTCATTTTATACGGTCAATTAATTAAAATATATAATTAGATACAAATTGTATGTTAATTAATACAAAAATTTAAAAAAACGTATTCATATCATAATTTAAAATTAGGTGATAATGTAAAAACTACACTTTTAGTATATTTAAATTAATTTTTTTAAAAAAATAAAGAAAACTTTTGCAGTGTGTGTGAGAGTGATAGCCATTTTTTAAGTCTTTTGAATCATCTTAATAGCTGAAAATGTAGAAATGGTAAGTGCAAGCAAACTTTGCATGCCATTATTTAAAAAAAAAAAAATTGTTATGTAAATAATTAATTACACAAATTGATTTTCACGGGCTTAGGTGAATTTGCTACAGTCCAATATTAATTTTAAATTTAAATTTTTTTGGTATTATTTAAGCTCATTTTAATTTAATTTTTATTTAAATAAAAAAACATTGATTCTAATTTTTTTGGAAATTTACTTACAATTTATTTGTTATATTACTTCATTTTATTTTATGTTTACTTTATCTGTATATGCTTTATATGTTGAGTGCGATATCTTTGGATATAAAATAATATAATTAGTATTTTTTGTTTAAAAGCAAAAAAATATTTATGTATCATGAATTAAATTGTTGCAATGGAGAACTATATTGATTGAGAGAAGTTATCGTGGGGATGGTGCATACCAATGAAAAAAATGTTGCTTTATATGTTTTAAAATTTAATACTTTATTTTGTTTAATATTTAGTCCATAAATACTATTCCTTCATTTTTATATACAAAAAATAAAATAATTTGTTTATCTTAATTATAAAAAATAAATATATTTTCAAATTGTTAATTATTAATTTTTATACTCTTACGTGATATGATATTTGGGTTAATAATATACTCATCTATTATTTATATTAATAAATATATTTATTTAATGTATGAAAATTGATAATTTATTTTTAAAACGTATTATTCATCGTAATAAATAAATCATTTATATTTAAAAAAAACCACCCTGGGAGTATATAACTTGCAAATTGAACGCGTTGAAAACAAAGAATATTTTAAACGATAAAATGAAAAGTTACAACAATATAGAAGGGTGGAATACTTACAACTGTGAATCCCTCGTTTGTGACCGGTGAAAATGAACTTGGTAAGGTGGTGAATAAAACACTTCTCTTCGAACTCAATCTTCATCGTTGCTTCATTCATCCACAGAGCTTCGAAAAAACTCAAATCTCAACACCTTAATAACCCAAACAAACAACAATAATTTCATTGTTTTATCCCAACGCTAACGCTGTTCCTCTTTCCTCTGCTACTCCCTTCGCTATCCTCACATCCCCATCGAGATTGACCTCAAAATTTTCCACCTTTCACGCACCTCTTTCTCACCCTCCTCGGCGGTCACTGGATAACAACATGGTGCGGGGGCGAAGGAGATTGGCGCGGCAAACAGGACATGTGGCATGAGAAGAGAGCCAAGCATCGATGCAGGGAGGGTGAAAGACATGGTTGCAATGAGGGAGAAGACGGAGGGTGTCGTGAAAAGTGAAATCGTTGAGGCAAATAGCGCATTGAAGGGTTTCTTCTAGTTCTCTTCTGAGGTGGTTGAGGGAAGAGTGAGAGAAGATGGGGAAAGTGCTAAGTATTTCAGGGGGAATGTTACCATGCGAACATGTGCATGTCCTTTCGGTAAGGTGTGACTGAAGACAGCGATGGAGGAAAATTGAAAACACTGCCACCAACAAGAACGCTAAAATGAAGGCTACCACTACCACGATAATGGAAGAGTAATCCCAGAGAGTCGGAGAGGGTAAAGGTTGTGCTGTCTGTGCCTTGCCGTCACCCAAAGAAAACACCGTAAAGAAGAGAATTGGGTAAATGTTGAAGTGTTCGGGGTCAACCATTCTTGGTTTTGGCAAAGGACGCAAGGTTATGGGTGCCTTTTTTTATAAAATAAAAATTATATTTCTGCATATAAAATTAAATTTTTTAAATGAGGTTTTAGGAGAAAGGAATAATATGGATGTATTTAATTAGATAGTTTTTTATTTGAAAATAAACTTTAATTTTTTTTTTATCACATTCTTAACATATCACAAAGCTATGAGGTTTTAAGAGAATAGCAAACTTGATAACGCGTTTAGTTTTTGCGGAAATTTATTGCCTTTGACAGGTGTTTATTTCTGTCAATGCTGACACAAAAAAAAATTGGCTGTCTTGTTGAGATGGTAAGGGATTTCTGCTAATTAGTGACAGAAAACTGAAGGTAAGAAAATGAATATGTACATGTAATGAAGTCGTGGAATGATATAGATAAAAAAACACCGTTTCTTTTTAATTGTGTTATATGGGATATCACATAGAAAAAAATAATAATAAGAGGCTTGTTGATATGGTTGTTTTTAAATAACTGTTAATGCAAAGTAAGTTAACGAATGCCTACATAAATCAAATTGTGTTAAATAATTTTGTATTTTATTAATTATATGATTTAGCCATACATAATGTTAAAATTAACATATTTTATCTATAAATAAAATTGACTTAATCCCATTCTAATAAATCAAGTTTGAATTTTTTTTTAAAAATATATCCTATCAAAATTCTAAATCTAATAATGAAAAGAAAATAAACATATTCCAATGATTCCATATATACCTTAGGTTCACTTATTATTATCGGCTCAGGATAGATAGCAACGTACATTTAAAGCTAGTTTTTTTCATTTGTATAAAATTATATAACATATTAAATGTAAATTAAATAAAAGGTTTAGATTTTATATAAAATTTTTTAAAGTTATACTAGTGTAAGAACATCTTATTTCTATATATATATATATAATTAAAATTAAAATTTTATTTTAATAAAATATTTATTTTAAATAAAATAATTATATTATTAAAATAAAATTTTAATTTTAATTAATAAACAATAGCAATAACACTTAAAAAACTGCACTTGCACTTTATTTATATGATAAAGTTCTAGACGAATGTTAATTATAAGAGTATTTTTAAATTAGTAAATATTAATAATAAAACTAAATTAAAAATAATGTTTTTAATGATAAAAGTTTTATTACATTAAAGAATGATGATAAATTAAAAAATAAGACTCTTAAATTGAAAAAAATATATAAAAAGTTATTAAAATTAAGACATGTCAATTTTATTGACACAGTCACAGTGTATCAAAATTTAAATTAAATTAAAATGAAAATAAAGTAATAAGAGTTGAAATGAAAAAAAATTATAAATAAAAAATAATTTTTAAGAACGCTATTATTCAAAAATCAGAACTCCAATTTATAATATAAGAACAGATTAAAAAGGATTTGTTTTCCATTTAAAGACTGTAAAGAAACCTTAAAAGTAAAGTATTTGGCAACAATATTTTTTATAATATAATTAAAAAAGTTGAAGAATCACAAAATGTTTTTCATTTATAAGAAAAAAAACAACTGGCTTAAAAAGTTGTTCAATTAAGGATCTTAGAATAATGATGCATTTAAAAAACATGACAACAATATTTTTAATATAATTATTTCAGACTATTTTTTTTCTTTCAAGAAAAAATTAATTTATTTTTTAATTTTTTCAAATTAGATGGCTTTTCAATTTAAAGTATATTTAAAAATTAAGAAATAAGTTATTGATATAAAATTCGATCTAGATAAATGTAGCTCATGAATAATTGTTGAATAATGTTATTTAGGAAGAAAGGTCTTACATAAATCATTATGAGTGTTTGATAATGAAATAATAGTCAAAGATTAATATTAAATATTAAATCCATTATTTGTTCAAGTTGGGTGGATGTTTGCTGAAGTTTTCGCCCTCAAGAGTTGAAGAAATCGAATGCTACAAAATACAACTCGACACTTTCTTTTCTGGTAACAACCGTTTTATACTTTTATTAGAGTGTGCAATTGCTCACCGCAGTTCGATTCCAAGGTACAACTCACTCTCTCTCTCTCGACTTTTTTCATTTTTCAATTCCTGTAGTCGTTTGTTTCCCGAGAAAAACGGAACGTCAGTTTTTGCCCTTTTCATTTTAGACGGTGGCTGCGGGCTGTGCTTTCAATTTGACTGTCAAATTTATCACAAGTTTTATCGCCACGTCGTTTTCCTGTTAAGAGGACTCAATTAACAACCAAATACGTTGATTGGTGGCTAATAAGTTTACCGTTTATAGAATGAAATTTCACGTTTGTTATTTGATTAAGAAGTTCGCTTGAATCATGCTTTTGGATTTATCGTTACCTGTCCTGTAAATGGAAATGGCATTGATTCATATGCTTGAACGGGTTTAGTTGTTTATTCTACTTCCAGATTTGACTTTAAATTCTCATGTTTGCATCTCTAACCGTGTAATGAAGTTGCTCTTTATTTTTTGTCAGCATGGATTATGATGTCTAATTCCATTCTTTTGTTAATGTTTTAGTAAGATCTGTGGTTAATTTTTGAAGATTTCCAATTGTGTTTCACAGATTTCGAATAATTTGTTGGAGATCTAAGTTTTGGACTTTCCTTTTATAGTTGCAATATCTATTAGTTGACGGTGATTAGGAGTTTCAGTTTTACTTTGTACGATGAGTATAATAGAATTTTAGGCTCATAAAAAAGTGTATGCATAATGTTGGGTGGAATGGAGTGAATAAGGATGAGATGGAATGGTACGTAGTAAAAGAAATATTACCATACCATTGTTTATATCTTGTGATGAAAATGAAATGGTATACCGTTTTCATTCCATTAAGGAGATTATAATAAATTGATTTCGTCCCATTCCATCTTATGACCCCCAAAGTTTCGAGAAGGAGAGATTGATGGAGTGGAACTGGAATGAAAACTCAACCTTTTATTTGTAATCATTTTTTAATGTTATCTGGCAGTGCATTAAGCTTTATCCTTTCTCTTATTTATAATGCATTTGATATAATTTGCATTGTTCTTCTTGATATGCATTTGCACTTCCTTATTCTATTTAAGTAATTACAAATGTTAGTATGTACCAAAAAGAAAATCTATGATTGCTAGTTGATATGACTGGGTTTCTTTTTGTGTGTGGAATGCTTGGTTTTCTTGTGTATTCTATTTGCTGCTGCATCAAATTCTCACTTGACTTGTATATTTATAATTGCTTTGACATTCTTTAAGTTTTGAATGTTTGTTTCTTCATTGATTTTGCTTGCTCTCTCCTTTATTGTTTCTCTTTCTTTTCTTTCTTTTTTCTTTCATAATTTTTGTTATGGAAGCTCAAGGACTAATACATAAACCTGTTATTTTTCCCAGCTGACCTAGCCACTTGAGGATAGCTCTGCATACCCAAGTAATACTAGCAAAGAGCACTTCCAACTGCCAAAATGAAGTAATACCAGCAGTCTGCTTTTTATTAGTTTGCTTAGTTGAGTTGGGAAAAGAAAATTATTTAAATTGATTGACAGAAAGTTGAATGTTCCAGATTATTTTATATTGTATATCACATTGAGAAACCTGTTCCTCTGAGATGAGCTGACAAATCTTAATATAATCAGTCTTTCCTTTGTTTTCACATTGCAGGGGACGTGTAAAATGGGATGAGGCTAACATTGGAGAAATTGAAGCAAACAAACCCGTGAGGCAAAAAATTACCGAACCTAAGACTCCATATCATCCTATGATTGATGATGACAGTATGTAAAGAAGATCAGTTAAACTACCTATATCCTTGTAAACTTTCTTGCACATATCAGAACAAGTATGCTTGTATAGATGTAGCTTTCCTTAGAAATAATACTAGCAGGAAAAAAGAGATATTTTGCTACCTTGAACTCTAATGATACATTTATTCTTCTTGTAGTAGGTACTAAATTCTAAACCTTCGTTTGTCTTCCACTTGGTTTGGTTTATAAATGTTAAAAAATACAATGGTTTAGTTCAATTCTCTGTTATGGAATTTGATGAAGATCCTTGTTTGCAGTTTTATTCTCCAGCCTGTTTTTCAGCTCTAGATTAGAAGTCACTTTATGTGCTGCTACTTTTAATCTGAATAGCCTGATCTTTTAGGTTCTCCATCAGCCATACGAGGAGATTTTGACAAATGTATTGATGATAAAAACCGCTCAGAAAATGCTGAGCGGAGTGCTTTTGATAATGCGGCTTCTTGTAGCAGAAAAGGAACTATGCAATCTGACGGCTGGACATCATCTGAGGATGAGTCAGAAGAAATGAAACAAGATGATGATGGTAATATTGGATCTTCATTTGACGTTTTTAACTATGATCATTACCTTTTTTATTTTTACTGCAACGATTACTGCTTATGCCTTCTTTTGCTTATTCGTGAGAATTTTGGTGTTGATGATCAATTTGTGATACAAATAATTTAAATTTTTTATTAACATTATTACCTTAATTGGTATAAATTAGGTGCGATAAGGTGGAGGAGTCAACCTATTTAATTTTGACCTGACATTTATTGAGATTCCAGTGTAAAAAAAAGGAATTGGTTTAAATTCGTTATGTAAGAGTAAGACAGCTACAAGAAATGCTTGTGCAGTGAGTTCATCAATATTAAACAAGTAGATTCTGTCTTGGAGTAAGTTAGGTTAGGACAGATCAAGCATCTTTGACCCTCACGGATAACTGAGTGGGCAATTGTTTCTCATTCTCTATTCTTGGGTATACCCATCATGAGTCTGGATTAAATTTTCTCTACCGGTAGATTAGTATTTTATTCTGACCCAAAATTTGTTTTCCTTGGTTGGGAATATTATTTGAATTTTGAGCAGAAAGGAGAGTGAGTTTTAAAGAGCACAGAAGGGTCCACTATGATGAATTCCTCAAAGTCAAAGAGCTGCGACAGAAGGCTTCTCTTCTAGAGGATGGCAGTGACGAGGATAATAAAGCTGGGCTTACCGTGAGGGAGAAGAAGTGACTCATCTTGTCCAACGGGTGCGACATGCAGGAGATAGACACAGAGAAGAAAGATATCTTCCATTCAATGCCTCTAACTAAATGCTTCTGACGTGATCAACAAATAAAACCTACTCTGGTTTTATTTAGTGGGCAGGAATAACAACGATTCTGTATTCGTTGTGTCTTTTGTGTGTAAATATCTTCTACTTTTCCATCCAGTATGTTCATCTGAACTTGGATTACCCATTTAGACTCTAGTAATATGCCAAATGAGATTCATTTGGCAAGCAACAGAACATTCTGATGATAAGATTATTTGTGTGATAATGTCGTAGACGTAACACTCCGAACTTGGCTTCTAAGTAATTTAGGTTGGAATGATGCTTGGATGAAATTGCATTGATTTTGCTTGCTGACGTTTCACCTGTTGTCTTTGGGTGTGACAGCTTGGCACCAATCTGATACTGTGGTAATACAATGTTCCATTGTGGAGTGGGGCCATTATTATAATAAAAACTTTGTATTAATGTAGTGTTATTACCGTATTGAAATATTTAAGTAACGCACATGTGTTGGGGAAACTTTTTTTTAAGTTGCCAAATTATCCACGCATTTAGTTTGGAAATTCTAGCTCAGCGACCGCGGATTAATCCAATAAAAAAAAAGGATAAATAATAAATTGTAGCGTAGGAGAATTTTCAATTTTTTCTGGCCCACGGACATGGATAGAATGGAAGACTTGCATATAAAAGAGCCAAAAGCACATTCAGTGTGTGAAGTGTGACTAGTGAAAGAGAGGGATGGCTTCTAATTGTAACTCCCAAGAAATGGCTTCAATGGCCACAGAAAGCTGCAACCAAATAGCCTCAATATTCTCGAAGCCCACCCACCCATTCCCTCCCCCACTGGACCTCTTGGTAAGCGAGCTCGGCACCGTTGCCTCTCAAAACGGCCGCGTTTTCCTTTACGGCGTGGGCCGTGAGGGCCTCATGCTCAAGGCCCTCTGCATGCGCCTCGCCCATCTGGGCCTCTCATCCCACCTCGTCTTCGACATGACCACTCCCCCCATCGGCGCCGGCGACCTCCTCATCGCCTCCGCCGGTCCCGGCGGTTTCTCCACCGTCGACGCTATATGCGCGGTGGCGCGCTCCCACGGCGGAAGGGTGCTACTCCTGACTGCCCAGCCCGAGACTGGGTCGTGCGTGAAGCACGCAAACGCCGTGGCTTACGTGGCAGCGCAGACTATGGCCGATGATAAGGACGCAGCAGGGGATGTGAAATCTCGGCCGTTGCTTCCGATGGGAAGTGTGTATGAAGGAGCGCTGTTCATTCTGTTTGAGATGGTTGTTTACAAGTTGGGGGAAGCCTTGGGTGAGAGTGCTGAAGCCGTTCGATCTCGCCACACTAATCTTGAATAAAATTATATCAGCCGTTCGATCTTGCTGCGAGATTTCTCATATCATGATCGCTGTGTGTTCTGGTTCTAGGAAAATAATGATATTTACATATATTTTGTAATTTGAAAATACGTACAGAGATTATTATATAAACTTTTGCCAAAAATCATGTGGAGTATGGTGATGGTTATTGTTTAGTTAGAGTATTGTTTAATTTTTAATTAATTATTTAAGATGGCGATCGGGTGTTATATATTTTGTTATTTTATAGTTTAAATATATCGAAGCATTGTTGTATTTTATTATAAACTAACAGTGAATAATAAAGCATCACGTTATTATTGAATAAATACAAAAAATATTAATTTAATAAATAAATAAACTAATATCAAAATCTTGATTTTTTATCTCTCCTTCATGTAAGGCTTGCAAGCTATAGGATTGGTGGCAGTTAGATCTTCATTTCAATAACATTTTTATTACTTAATTGCTATCTTAGTGTTATTTGTTGGCTTTCTCTTAAATTGAAAAAAAATCGTATTTATTACGCAATCAATTTAAAGTATCTTATAATTTTTAATCGTTTAATTTTAGAAAATCATTTATTCAATCTAAAAAAAATTAATCTTTTAAATAATATTTTTGGTCAAACCAGTGCACTATAATTATAACCATAATCCTGATTCACGAGTCTGCAATTCGGTGCGTAATTGCGAGAATAATAGTATGTCTTAAACGCCGCAACTGGATAAACAGAAAAACGAGTTTTTTTTTTTATTATTATTATTAATACGAGTCTCTGGTGTTGACATTAAGAATAAAAGAAGTATTGGCCTAAAACTAACTCAAACAATTAAGATGATTTATACATAATCCAACGCTGAAACAAAGTTTATCTAATACTCATGAGGCACACGTTAAAAAATAAATAAAAAATATTATATTAAAAACATAAATACGACTTAAAATGAAAATAATGTGTGAAAAATGGAAACGAGTTTAGTGCTTGAAGGCGTGGTTGTTTGGTTATTAGTTAGCGTATGTATTGGTAGATGATTAATTGGATGAGGTTTAAGAAAGTATCATGATATTTTGGTTTAAATATGAACAAAACAGGTGGCCAGCCAATAAAGCGAGTATACCATACCGTACCATATCCCATATTCCTATCCATCTCATCTCGTTTCTTTTTACCACTCTCTTCTCTTCAATCTTCCTTTCACCTCACTCCCACACACTAAACACTTTCTCTCCATGGAAATGGAATCCACGCTGCACGTCCCCCAAACCGAAACGACGTCGGTTTGGACCGACGAGAAGCACCTCCACTTCCTCAACACCATGGAAGCCTCCTTCGTCCGCACAATGCTCCACCGCCACACCCCTCTCCGCCTTGATCGCCACCTCCCCGACACCTCCGAATCTACTTTGGACTCCAAACCCATCCGTAGACTCAAGAAACATCCACCCTCAGGTACGCTACCTCTCTCTCTCTCTCTTTTTCTGTTTGTTGGAGTCAGTTACGAAGTTAAGATAATAAGACAGCGTTTGGGGGCGTGCAGCCGTGCACATTTCTGATATTTTTTGTAGTACTATTTGACCGGTCTCACTCAAAGGTGGCGCTGCCGCTCAAGTGAGTACGACAGGTTTTGACGAAACAGCGCGTAAATGGGAGGGGCATCGTGATTCGAGAAAAAAAATAATAGATGGAATGGAATATACCTTTAGATATTTACAGATAAAGTGTTTGATTTATGTTGGGGATCTTCCTTTTGCTTCTTTATTATATTCCTCATCACAATCACAAATATCTACGTACTTTACATTGCTTTCATTCAATTAATTATTATTTTCGTGTGACAGATTCCATGGGTCAAAGGGCTAGAACGGGAAGCAGAAGAACTAGAGGGAGATCATCTCAGCTCCAGAATTCACCACCGGAGCAGGTGAGTTTTTCAAGATTCCGAATCCGAACAACCTTGCATGTCTTTCTTACCGTTCGATCGTGATCGGACGGATGCAAATGAGTCTGCCTCGTCACACAGAATGTGGGGGCTTTAATGCACGTTTTGTTTGCTCTCTCCGTATTTGTTGCCTTTATAGATTTTATTTAATTCACTACTTAACACGACCACCACGATATTTTGGAGTGAGGTGTTTGGAAGGAAAAAAACGGTGCAAACATTGGATAATAATCACACATTATTTATTTTACATTTAAAAAAATAGCTTATAGTAACAAAAAAAAATTTCAATTATTAATTGAATTCATACTATACAATTTTGAATAAATGTTTTTCCTAACCAATCCGAATAAAGCATGTTATCCAAAGATCACTATTAAGTTGCCATGTGTATATAATGCATGTAGGAAGTAACTGGTAATTTGCGTATGATTCCACAGGCCGTCGTACAAATAGAAAGTGAAAGGGAAAGTGCTGCTTGCTTGCGTTGAAGGAGAGGATGATAAAAGAACAGAGAAATAATGTTTAATTAGGGTATGAGAACCTGCCTGCAAAAAAAAATTCATGGATTTTCTTTTCTTTTCTTTTTCCTTTTATTAGAAATTCTTTCACCGTCTCTTTCTCTCTCTCTCTCTCTATCTCTGGTTTTTAGTTTTGTTAGTTTAATTTCTCGACAATTATCATGTATTGCAGCAAAATCTAGTCACTTATTTTCTTTTAACTTTTTTGAGCTCTATCTATGTCTATTCTTTTGGTACTCCGTAATTATACTTGGTTGGTGTTATTATTTAATGGTTTTCACTTTTAGGAAGAAGCTTGCATGTGCGTGCACATCACAATAAGAGCAAGAATTTGGACAAATGTGTTATTTCGACAATAAGATATTAAACACATCAATGTCCGTTATGCATCCACCTAGCTAGCTAATCTTTGCTTGGTATATTATTTTATTTTTGGGCGTTAAATTGTTGCATACAATTTTCTTAGGGATTATGGGGAAGAGATTTTATGCAAGTTCTAGGTGAGATCTTACGAATATTAGAGACAGAAGAGCAGATAAAGTAACAGTTGTGATATTTTGGTAGTTGCATACATGACATGATGGATATTTACAAATGTCAATCAATGTATAGTAGGTTGCAGGAGGAATAGGATAAAATAGAGAGAAAGGGTTGTAATCTTCTGTATGATGAGGTGGTTGGTGGGTTAATCCTTTCAAATCCAAGGTGGGTAGTCCAACGTATGTTACTGTTCTTCTCTTCATTTGGAAAATTCCATGCGACGCTACCCGCCACCAACTCTGCATCATTAATTGCTCCTTCACGTCAAGCCTTTTTCTCCCATTCGGTGATTTTCTATTCTATTTTTTCTTCATTTTTATTTTTTATACATTGGTGTACATCATCTTTATGTCGCTTTTATGCGTTTATTTACTCATTATTATGTCGTATCATGTATTCTTTCTTCTATTTTGTTCGTCTCTCTTTTATCTCTCACTATCGTTTTCCATTTTTATATATCTTACAAAAGTCTGTGTTATTGGAAAAATGGGCGTAATTCAGTTTTTGATGTTTAAAGATCTTGTAGTTTTTTTTCTTAACTTTCTAAATAATTTTTGATAATGTATTTTTTATTAAATATCTCTCTTGTAGTTTTTATCTTTCATTTGATTTTTAAAAATATTTTAATTATTTATTTTGATTCTTCTGAATATTATGACTTTTTCAGTTAATTTTTATAAATATCGTTAATTCTTTCTTAATTTCTCTAAAATAAGAAAATAAAAAAAAGAGATATTTAAAGGGATCAAGTAAACAAATTGTTTAAACAATTTAAAATAATAAAAAATCTTATATTGTTGAGGGATCGTAAAATTAATTACCCTTAAATAATTATTTAAAGTATTTGTAATTTGTGATGGATATGTGCAACATTTTCGTTTGATGTCGGAATTACTCGGTGGTATTTAAAAATAAATATTAATGTATGCTAAAAAATTATTCAAATAAATTGTTGCATTACTGGCGTTGTATATTACCGCCGCTTAATTAGCGGGATTTTATAATAAATTATTAACAATTAAGTTAAATAAAATTTGAAATTAATATGAGATAGTCTTATGTATCATGTAAATTTTAAAATTAATAACACGAGGCTATGTAATAATAATAGTAGTAGATTATAGACTTCAATATTTTAATATTATGTCTTTATCTGTCATCAGAAACAATTTTAATTTAATAGCATATTAAAAAAAGTTAAAAGAATAAAAAATAAACTTAACTAAGTCTTCATCGTCATTGTAGACTAATTCGATTGGTTGTTGATTAGCTTTTACTAAATTTGAAATTATCTATGCTTTTAGGTTAAATGAACTGAACATCTAACGAATTCATTAGTTTTCTGGTTAAATTGGCAAATCTGATCCAAAATCTTAAAATATGGCTTTCACTTGCACCATCATGACCTAGAACTAGAATCAACCAATAGAAATAATATACTATCACCTTTTTATCTTTTTGTTTTTATACTTTTTAAGTAAAATTTGATTTCTATTTATCCATCCTTTGAAAAAAGTTAACATAACATTAATCATTATGTTTTTAAACATATTATTATCTCTACGTAATATTTAAATATCATACACATTTACAAAAATAAAAGAAAAATAGTATTGTAATAGAAGTCATGTTAAAAAGTTTTAAAATTTAATTATAAATCTTAATTATCCATCGTGTTTAAAATAAACAACTAAATAACATATTTACAATCTCAACCATATTTCATAAAAATTCTTTTAAACAACTTTGGAGGAAAGATAATGTCATGTCAACTGGGTACAGTAATGCACTTTCTATCAGTCATGGAATATGTACATGTTTAGTAATTAACTAAGTATTTTTTTTTCTAAATATTAATGAATATTTTAAATAATCTATTTAATAATTTTTATTAAAAAATAAAAATCCATTACTAAACTGATTATAAATTTTAATTAAAATTAATAAAATTACAATTAATATTACATTTTTTTATTTAAGAAAATGCATACTATCTATTGCATTAAATGAATGAACATGGATATATCAAAATTTCTCCCGTGCAAATAATTTAAACTGAATTAAATGCTCGATTAAGATACTAATTCATGGTGAGGGGTTTAAATTGACCTATGTGTAATCATAAATTTAAATCTCACTATTGTTATTAGAACTTTTTGTTTGGATAACATTGTAAAACAATACAATTAACGATTATCTAATGAGTTTTTAAAAACCCATAATAAACTTATATTTAATATTTTTTTATTCAGATTGTACAATTTGATTTATTTTTTTTAGATATTAAATTTTAATAAAATTTAAATAATATCTGATTATATGTTTTTTTTTACCCTTTAGGCGTACAATAAATTTTATTGTATTTAATTATAAAAAATTATTTTGAGTAGTTTGTAATAGTCCTTCTTATCATATATTTTACAAATTCTTTTCGAATTAATTATTTTTTATAAAACATTATTAATAGAGACAATATAGTTTATTAAATAAAAAGAGAGCAAAACACTAGATTTTAATAGTTTTAAGGATAACTGTAGAAAATTTATCGTGATTTTTAAAAAATTAATTATATTTCATAATTATTATAAAATATTTAAAAGGATATCATATTCAAAACTAAAACTACAATATCTTATTTTTGGTGAATAGTTTATTTTTACATATTAACATTAATAGTCAATAGGAAATGATAATAAATATCCTAAAAATGTTTATTAATAAATTAAAGGTAAAAAAATTGTTCATAAAAAAAGGTAAAAAAATAATTAAAATATACTAAAATATCTAATATCTCAAGTGTAATTTATAAAAATATTTATTTATTTATTTATTATGTCTGTAACTAAATATTTTAAGATACATAAGTAAGATTCTTATTTAACAATCTAAGTAATGTATTATTAGATCATAACATAAAAGCTTAAACTTCTTAATCAGCGTAGTTTATAATAAACAACTTAATTTTAGTTTATAATATTGTAATATAAAAAAATGTAAATTTTGTAACCAAAATGTAGTAAATGTACTCACTCCCTAAATAGAGAATAAATCCGTAAGGAACAAACAGTAAATATATTAATAAACTCGAAACTTGAAAATGTTGTCGGATTTAAGAAACAGAACCTACAATTTAAACTCCATATCATCTGTTCTGATCTACCTCTGTAACAGAGAAACTTCAACTTCGGGTTGGGAGCGACACCACTGTACCTAAACAGCAACAACGAAGATGCTCCATTTGGTGCTGTTCTACAAGAACCCATTGCTCCACACGTCACTTTCCCTCATCATTGCCTTCACCTTCGCCTTCTTCAAAATCCCAATCCTCTTCCTCTACGGCCTCCAAACCTACATCCACCCCGATTCCCAACCCCAAACCAATGGCCTAAGAGCCGCCATTCGCCGCCCCGGCATCGACGGTTACCAACCCCTGTCTTCCAAAACTGCTTCTGAACTCAAAAAGAGGAACAAGCCTAAGGATTTTGATGAAAACAATGCTCAGATCTTCAGACTCAAGCTCGACTATGCTCACCTTCAATCTCGTCTCTTCATCGATCAGTACTGTGTCGCTTTCACTCTCTCCTTTGCGGCCCTTTCTTCTCTCTTGCTTCACTACTTCTTGGATTCGACGCAGAATCGTGGGTTCTTCTCCAACGGTGTTTTCGTTCCGATTCTGTTATCAATTTTGAGTCTTTACACGTGGGGAAACCTGCTTGTTAAGGTCACGTTTGAGAGATCCGCGTCCAGGAGGTCTGAGAAGCAATTGAGTATTGTTTTTGAGGTTTTGGGGCTTTTCTTAGGGCTTTTGCTTGTTCCTGAGGGTGTTTCCTTGGTTTTGGACTTTCGTTTTGCGGTACCTTTTGATGGGTTTTGGAGGGTTTTCGTAGCTGCATTGATGGGTTGCCTTGCGGGTTTTCTGTTTATTCCTGCTTCTAGAAGTGCGCGTTCCTTTTGGCTTGGAACTGATCAACTTCGTTGCAATTTGTCAATGATAACTTGTGGGTGGTTTACACGTGTGATCCTGTATGTGAATCAAATGCTTGTTATTTTTGTGGCTTTGTTGTGGATTATCCCTCTGGCTGAGATTTTTGTGAACACAAACTATGGTAGCAACAGTAAGGGAGGTAGTGTGACAAGGAGTGGATTTGGTGATGCAGAGAGATTGGTGGGGAATGTGGGGCTCTTGCCTTCTGATTTTGGTAACTTCAGGCGCTGGTGCTTGTTGGGATCAAGTTTGTTGCAGATTGTGGCGTTAAGGCCGAACCTGCAAATGTATCTGAATGAAGCTTTGCTGTCTTGGTACCAAAGGCTTCATGCTAGCAAGGTTCCTGACTTGGATTATAGTAGGGCAAAGATGTTTCTGCATAATCACTACTTGTGCCTTGTGGTTTTGCAATTCCTTGCCCCTCCTGTGCTGGTACTTCTCTTCCTTGGTTTGTCTCAGATTGATGGTCTATCCTTTGGAAATTTTCCGTTGTTAAGTGATTTATTGCCCAGCTTTGCTTACTTCAAGGAAGTTGCTTTGTTTTTGGCTTGGTGGGTAACTTTCCTCTGGGCACTATTCTCTTCAGTGATCATTATGCTGCATCGCCATTGCATTCTATATGTTTCTTGAGCCTTTGTATTCCTGAGGACGATTTTATTGGGCCTTTCAGTGAGCCTTTTATTGCAACACGAATACTTTTATAAAATTTTGAGAGGAGTGTTGGACTTGTAGCAGAAGTTTTGCCGGTTAGTTGACACTATCATTGTTTAGGTAACCTCAGATTTTCAAATATAGCTGTGAGTTGTATGTTGATGTTGAAGTTATTTGACATAAGAATCATATACAATAAACTGACTATAGAAAAGCTAAAGTTGTATGAAATTTCACATTCCCTTCAAAATATCATGCAGACTTACATGTGTTGCAATTTCTAAATTAGAGGTATATATACAGCCAAAACATCTTGACACATCATTCAGTATAATAAGAAAGTCTAGCTCTAGCATACTGGATAAGCCGTTTGTGTACTTTTCCTTTTGGTAAATTTTGTAATGTTTCGTGTTTGTTTGTCATCTTTTTGACCTTTTGTTGTCTTACTCTTTTTGAGGCCTGTGATTTATTCACTTGCTGGGAACATTTATACATACATTCTTTCAGTTATTTTTTTATTTTTGCCTAATTATAGCATTAGTATATCATTGTTATATCTGCACCATCAAGTGCTTTCTTTCTTTCTCTCCGTAATAACAGTATATGAAAATGAAACAAAGTACAGGCATTGTTTACTAAAAGAATATTATAATCCTCCTACAATTAATGTTAGGTATTTCAAGATCTATACTTGTTTTTAGTTGTACTTCTAATTTGGTGCATGCATGATAAATTCATAGAATAATTGTGGTTCATTAAAGTATCAATGTGAACATGTAAAGTGTAAGTGACATAATATTTAGTTTTGGTTTGTATTAAATAAATGAAGAAATAAATCACAGTTTTGCCTTTGTGTAAATTTGCATTATGCTTTCTGTTCATAACACCTGTCTGTGAAACTGAAATGATGAATGAGCATTGAATTCTGGTAATAAAATATTAAAACTGCTATTTTGAATAAGCGTTTCAAGATCTAAAAGTGATACTTATTGACCCTGTGTACGCATACTAAGTTAATCATATGTTCATGCTCTTGGTATGGCATACACATTTTGGGAGTGGGCATGTCATGTTACAAATGATGTACTGCTGTTGTCTTGCATGTCATGTTACATTTTTGGGAGTGTGCATGTCATGTTACAAATGATCTTGCTTCTAAATTCAAGGCATTAGAGAGCTATTTTAATAGAGTAGCGCGCACAAAAATAAGTTTTCTTGAATAGTTACTAATATGTGGCATTGCTTGTGTCAGCCTCCACTCTGGTTCTTTACCACTATAGGAGATATGATATGTAGCACATGCCACAAGAATCATTTTTGTTTTTTCAGTGCAATATATAGTGTTTTCTTAGAAGTTCTTGATTGCGTAGAGCATCTTTGGTGTGTTGCCCCAGGAATGGGGGGACAGTAGGGATTTGTGAAAGATAATTTCCGTGTTCACTGATATATCTTGTTTGATTTTAGGGGTCTGTTTCAAGAATCAAAAATAGCTAAACACTCCAATAAATACATGGGTAGCTTATTAAACTTTGTTTAACTATCGCATTATGCATGTGAGCATGTTTATAGTGAAAAGAAAAATGTTTGAAAGCTGAATGCTGAAATTTAATATGAAATTCACAACCAGTGCAAAATATTTTCTTTTTTTGATATGCTTTTAAGAGCAAACCTGGTTTTCATAGAATTATAAGATAGACATTTTTTAATAAACAAAATCAGGCATTTGGTATTTGAATGTGAGGTATGGAAATGAAAATCCAAACATTCAGATATACGTTGTATGCGTGTTGCCACTATATTAAGTTCCAATGTCAAAAGTTTCGTTTATACAGTCCCTCTTCCTCTTTCTTCGTTGACATGGTTATTTAATGACAAATTCTGTTAAGCAGATGAATGAAATTTTTGTCCTAGGCACAACATAAAGTAAAATTTGGCAAAAATCTAGTTAGAAGAAATTAATGGCAAGTTTCCATCCTCTCCCTCCCCTCTCCCACTCTTGGGCCTAATGATGGATCTGGGGCGCTGGAGGTGCAATATCTAATTCGTGCATATTAAGCCAATAAAGTATTAATGTATTATTAATAGCTGTGAATATGATGTATAATAAATAAAAATTAATGATGAATCAATATATATTCGCCGTATAAAAGAAAAAATATTCCACTTGGGTATATTAAGTTTACCAAGAATCCTTGAAATCTGTTGTGCAAGTCTTGAAGTTATATGGAAAAGAGTTATGTTATTCATATAATTTCTACATGTACATATATATAATCAAATTGTAAAAAGAACATACCAAAGTGTGTGGCTAAGAGAAAGTGAAAAACCCATGGGTTTAAATTTTGGCCCTCTAGCCCTTGAAACTTGAAATCTTTGACGTGGCTATATATATATTTTAATTTTGAAAACCAATGAAGTATTGATCTACTTCGACCCAAAAAAGAGAGGTATTGATGTACCCCTCTCCTTTTTAACAAAAATTCTGCCTTAAATATGAAATATACCAACGTAAAGTATATAATATTTTTATTTAATTTTTGGACTGTTTTACTTTACGATTTTTTCAAGATCTTTCTACAATCATAATATTGATTTTGTGTGCTAGTGCATTACAAAGTGATAGCGCCCCCTTTTCTTTGGTTTTGGGTAGCTTTAAATATTTCTACAACAATAATCTTGTTTTTGTCTGTCTAATTTATTATTGTTTTATCCCGTGGATAGCATCATCCATTAAGTATATTGCAAAATCGTAAATCAAACCATTGAATACGCATTATAAAACATTCAAAATAAATGCCATGTAAATTTTCATTAAAAATTAAAATATTACATTATCATTTAATCATATTATTTAAAAAATGAATATTAAATCAAATATATTATAATTAAGTTTATTAATGATTTGGTAATATAAATTACGTGATGATATAAAAGTTACTGTTACAGTGAATTAAAATTAAATTTTAGAAGAATGTGAAAGTCCATCTTAATTTTGCAGATGATTACATTATTTATAAGGGTGTGAAAAACGAGCTTAAGGTAAAAATTACAATGCTTCGCTTTTCTTACTTGACATTCTTCCAAAGAGGATAAGAACATAGTGAGTTGCCTCAAAAACACTCGCTGATGCAGCAAATATGGATTTGCATGTGGGGGACCAAACCGAAGAGGTGAGTTTAGATTAGAAGAATCCCAGGCCTATGGATGTTGGCAAAAATTCATCAGTTTCTGGAATAAGAGAAACTTTTTTATCTAATAGACAAACTCTTTGTGCATGTCTTTGCTGTATTCCAGTCTTTGGATTTATTTGTCTTAAATATCTATAACATATTGCATCAGCATCTTGGATTTGAGAGAACAGCATGTTGATATATAGAATATTAATGAGTTATCATGAAAATAAAAATCATTAATTTCTATATATTGTGTTTAAATTACAAAAAAAAAGAGAAGCTCGTTTCCCTTTTCAGCTCTATAACTATTCTTATTTTATTACTTAATCGTATACTATTAGTCACAACTGTTACCTCAAAGTCACTTCAGTTTGATAAAAACACATGCATCATTGGTATTATAAAAAAAAGGTTTGGATTTTGATCTCTCGGAATAAAATTAAAAGTGCATTAACAAGATGAAGTTTTAATTAATTTATGAGGTGCTTTAATTTGACCTTTTTTTTTACATTTGGATGATTAATTTCCTTTTTTTTTTTAAATTTTATGGGAACTTCATTTCTCCATTACTGTGTTAGACAAGACGTAGCACTGTGTGGTCTTGTTGTTATCCTAGTTGTGTAACATGTGAAACTATGTCAGCGAGTTGGCCCATCTGATCACAAAAGAAGATAGTTATTTTGTGAAATTAGTGTGTGATACGGTAAATTTTAATTTTTTATATCTTATTTTATATATATATATATATACACGTATTTTAAAAATACATTTTAAAGAACAGTTCCATTTGATAAGGGCATAGAATCTCTGACACCACGAAACCCAACTGTATCTATCTGAAAAATTTTATCATTATAACACTGATTAAGAAAGAAATTAATATTTAAAATAAAAATGGAAATAAATAATCAAGAGTAATAACAAATGCACTAGTTGAAATTATGTAAAGATTTTTCGTGATCAGTTTGTTTTCAAGATAAGTTCCAGTTCTTAATTTGGTAAGAAAAAAACTCCCTCTGCACGCAACAATGATACTTCTCCTCTCAAATCCCGTCACGCACAAGATAGGAACGGTTATGTTCCTTTAGAATTAAAGGAGATAACTATCCATTTTTGGTACAGAATTTGATTGCTTATGGTTTTGTTTTCCTTCTAGAATTTCCTTTTAATATTTTTTTGGACTAAATTTTACGCGGGTGTGATAGGAAAAGATCTTAGAGTTTAATTTAATAAAAGCATTGCATAAACTTTTTTTTTTTAATGTCAATACTTTAAGGTGAGATGCTATGAAAAGTGAGAAATAGATAGTGCATTTATTTTTAATTTTGAGAAAGCAATAGTTCTAAATTAATGTGGATGTATAAGAATCACCTTGTCATTTTAAACACCTTCCCATTTCAAATTATCTAAATCTTGTAGAAAAGGAACATCTGCATATTTCAAATTATCCATGTAAATCGGTCAAAAATTCCTTCCATAACCTGTTAGATAACTTTTGAGTTATATCATTTTACCAATTTAAACTAAATATGGAGTTAATAAATCTATTTTCTTGTCATTCAATTTCCTACTAATTTAATTCCTCCTAACACTTGTAATTATCAACTTTAACTCTCTCCTACAAATTTACAAAGTAACTAAATATATTTTTTCAAAATGATTACTAGTTTTAGAGTTTTCTTAAATTGCATTTGAAAAAAATTCAGTGAAAAATTGTTGCATTTTGGGGATTTAAAAAAAATGAATTGGAAGACTTTTGAGATAGTTAGTGTTGCTTTTCAGAAAGTAGCGCGATGAGGGGCCGAATGTTGTGAACAAAAATGCTCCAAAGTCAAACTGACCATGCCTTTTAAACACCCAATATATTTTTTTAATTCATTTAAATAATTTTTAAAAAATATATTTATTGTTTTCTATTTCCCTTTTTTTCTGAAAAAGAATGAATTAATAACCAATTCAGTCAACTTGCTTGAAATTGAAATCAACTACAAGGAGAACTTTATTCTAACTCTTTCGGATTGGATAGTTGTATTCAACAATGTCACAATAAAAAAATAATATATACTTATAATACTTATTACAATAATATTTTATATCTTTTTTAAATTAAGAGTTATGATTCATTTAATATCTTAAAAATTAAAAGGATTAAATTTTTTTTAATTAAATTATTAATCTCTTTTACTACCGATATTTTACTAGTAAGAAAAGTTTTTAAACTCTCAAGAATGGGTTTCAATAAATTTTACCTATATTTATTATCAAGTAATAAAATTATTATATATTAAAAAATATCTTTTATTTAAAAAAAAAACACTAATATTCCTTTGTTGTGAACCCTTTGATATGCACTAGACAGCAGATATTTTTCAATTCTCATGCCAAAAACAAAGACAAATTTGAATCATAGTTACCTTTTTAAAAAAAAAAAAAAAGATGTCTTAAAAAGTAAGAAGTGTAGAAGTTTCTTGATTAACGTAAGTTATGACTGAATGTGGTAAACAAACCCCACATGGGAAGGAAGTTTCGCGAGAAAAAAGAAGTAACGTAATAGTTTCTTCTTCTCCTTTTCTTTCAATTTCTTTTATACTCTCTCTGTTTCTTTCTCATATCATTCTCTTTATATTTCCACTTACACGTGAACCTTCTAGAACTATATAACCATAGCAAACACTTCATTTCCACTCCATGGCTCCGCCGGTGGAACACAACGCTGACTCCACGGCTGGTGACTCTCAAAGATCCATTCCGACGCCGTTTCTAACCAAAACCTACCAGCTAGTCGACGATCACACAATTGACGACGTAATTTCTTGGAACGATGCTGGATCGTCCTTCATCGTCTGGAACCCTACCGTTTTTGCCAGGGATTTGCTTCCTAAATATTTTAAGCACAACAATTTCTCTAGCTTCGTTCGCCAACTCAATACTTACGTAATTTCCACTCTGGATTTCTTTTTCTTTTTTTTTCTCTCTTTTTTTTTTTCTTTGTTGATTTTGCTTGATTTTGTAGGGATTCAGAAAAGTTGTGCCTGATCGGTGGGAATTCTCGAACGAGTGTTTCCGAAGAGGCGAGAAACGGCTTCTTTGTGAAATTCAGCGCCGGAAGATTCTCTCGACGTCGCCCACGGCATCTTCGAATGCCGGAGCAACTGCGACCTTAGCGGTTCCGTCCCCACGACCGCTATCTGCGATTCGGACGGTGAAACCGATCGTGTCGCCGTCGAACTCAGGGGAGGAGCAGGTGATGTCGTCGAACTCGTCGACGTCGAGAGCGCCGGCGGAGCTGTTGGACGAGAACGAGAGGCTGAGAAAGGAGAACTTTCAGTTGACGAAGGAATTGGAGGAGATGAGATCGCTCTGCAACAATATATTCAATCTAATGTCGAATTTCGCAAACGCTCAAGTGGATGGTAGTGTGCAAGATAGGGAGTGTGTTTCCATGGCGGCGAAGACGCTTCATTTTATGCCGGCGAAGTATTTCTCCGGCGAGGATGTGGCGGCGAGGGCGACGGAGGAGATGAACCCGAAGCTGTTTGGGGTGGCGATTGGTACAAAGCGATCGAGAGAGGAAAGACATGATACAGTATTGAGCCTGCAGCCGTTTCATGCGGACGTGAAACCTGAACAGTTAGATTTCCAGAGACTTAGCCAAAATGGAAGAACGCCGTGGCTGAATCACTGCCATAGAGAGAATCAGAGAGTGTGTAATTGACTCTTAAGAGTAAGGCAACATGTTAGGTTAAGTTAGGGACGGAGACGCACGTGTCGAATGTGTGACGTTAACCGTTTGGGACATTTTTTACGAAGAAGTTTCTTAGAAGAAAACAATACTTTCCCGTCCTTCTCCTTTGATCTTTCTCTTTGATCCTCTTTTATTTATTTATTTTTAATGTCAATGGCATATATTGGACTTGGAATGTAGATTTTCCTTGTAAGATATAAATAATAATTTAGTTTTATAATATTTTTTGTTTCACTGTGAGCTAAATAAAAAATATATGTAAGGCAATACTTGGTGTCAGCTACCATTTCTCTATAATTTGATCTTCTTTTGGCCATAAAAGACAATTTCTCCTTTCTGATTTTTTTTCTCCAGTTTTTTTTATTAATTTTACATTGCATGGAAAATATGAAATTAGTTATCCTTACGAAGGATTTGCGCAATGGATTCGCATCCAAATTGTTGTGACATTTTAAAACAGGATTACTTTTTTATATATATTATTTAAAAATTATTGATGAGGATTTTTAAAAAATAATAATAATATTTAAAATCAAAATTTAATAATAATATTTTTTAAAAAATTAAAACCCTAAAAACTGTTAATAACAATTTTTGTCTAAATTTTTTAAAAAAATATATTTTTTTATAATTTTCTCCAAAATAGCATATTTCAATAGTTTTTTTATATAAAAAAGCCCATTATACAACCATTATTAAATTTAAATAAATATTAAAATATCTTTTATAATTAATTTTAATTTTATAAAAATATATAATTATTAATAATAAATATTTTGTTATATTAATTTACATAAAAGTTTTATATTTAAAAATTATAAAATAAATTAAATATAGAATATAAACAAGATTAAATTTTAATATTTAGTGCACGAAAAGTCGTATAGTATGATAAAGAAAAAACATCTAAAACCATTTCTCTTCAATATATCTCTTAAAAGTACTATAGTTTAAAAAGTTATACATAGAGAAAAATGCAAGTTAGAGTTGACTTGAAATTAATTAAATTAAGTTTAAATATAATTTTGTTTAGAGAAAAGATAAAATTTAAATTAAGGTATGTATTAATCTTTGTAATTGATATTTATTTATATACGTAAAAATTTATATTCTAATTTTTATATTAATATTTTGTTATTTTAAGTCATATCATTATGATATTATTAAAAAATATAATTTAACAAATATTAATTTTTATAACAATAACAATGACTAAAATTTAATAATATACCCTTTTAATGAATATAAACATACTTTTTAAGTATAATAACTAATTTGCAAACGAATATGTTCATGAAAAATAAAAATAAAATTTAACCTAAAATTTATGTATTGTTTTAGATGTATTTTTATATTGTTTTTTAATTGAAGTAACAGTGTTATTTTAATAAATAAAAGTGGATATAAAAAATTAATTATTAAAATATTAAAATTTAAATTTAAATACATACCAAAACTTTTTCATATAGAAATTAAATAGTTTATTTGTCTTTTTAAGTTTCATTTATCTTAGGTTTATGGGTTACTTTATTTGCATTTTTTTCTTTTGGGCTTTGCTTTTATTTTTCAAAATTTATCTGACTTTTGACTTATATTTTTAATTGAAACGGTTACTTTAACAAATACAAACAAATCTCTAAACATTAATATTTATTAACTTAGAATTTAATATTATTCAAAAATAATAAATATTAAATAGTGTGCTGATTTCACAAAATAACAAGTCAAATATGAAAGTTCAAGTTAATTTTACCCATGAATGAGTCACTATTTTTAACTTACAAAAAGATATTAAACCGTGACTTGTAGCTTTATTTTTAACTCCAAAATCATGATTTGAACAAAAACTAGACAATATTTTACCCAAATCATATGGAGAATTTTCCAACGGCAAACAAAATCATACTATTGATTTCACTCATTTCTAAATCACAAAAAGCATGGTCGAAGTTAGTGGAACTTTCTTGGTTTAGCAACACTTTGGTAGAACACTCCAATGATTTAAAGTATAAAACCCCACATAATGGATCTTGTTTGGATTGAAATTTCCATAGAGCGGAAGACACTCTTTTCAAAAGCATACCTTTAATCAGTGTAGAGTGTGGATATTTCAACAGAATAAGGACAAAATTTTCATTCACGTTCAAAGGTTTCTCTCTATGTTGAAGGTACTCTTTCTTTTCCTAGCATTGACAATCAAGCTTTTCGGCAGCTGCATTTGTTGAACCTTATACACTATTAAATTCATCACTATCACAAATCAAATTTATTAATAAATTTGTTTTAAATAAATCGTTTAAAAAATCAGTTTGTGTTTTGGTATGATGTGTGTTGAGAATAAGCTGGGAAAAATTAATTTTATTCGGGTAATTTGCTACAGTTATTTTTTAAACATATATCAAACAGAATATGACTCTTGCACTCCAAATCAATTATACCATTAAAACAACAACTAATTTCATAAATGGTATAAATGTTATCATGGTTTTATAATTCAAAACGTATATCATTGAACAAGTAAGTGAACTTGCAACAATTATTTCAACTTAATTTCAGATGCTAATGAATATAGTGGTATCTATACTCAAAAAGGAGAAAAATATAATTTTACTCGAATTAAAAATATTTATGAGGTAATTTTCTTCACAATCTTGTTATACAAAAAAAATAATCTTGATAAAGTATTTGAAAATAATTAAAAAATTATATACATATATTATTTTAAATAATATATATCAATCTCTGATAAAAGTAAAAAAAAAGAAAAGAAATATAAAATAAAAGATTGCAGACATTTACGATGAAAAGATGTTATTTTATTTATAATAGGACTTAATTTATTCTATAAGGGATGGGCTATGAAAAATAAATTTATTTATTTTTTATTGAATCAGTATCAACATATACTGTTCAATCCACATTAATGCTAAGAATTTAAACAAGAGAGAGAGAGAGAGAGTTAAGAATGAAGAAAAAAAGTTGAGAAGAATTTTATCTCGAGGGCTGACTGAACAAGTATGATTGATGGATTGATGGTTCGGACCCCTTTTTTAATAAACCCAACGGGCTTGGATTCCAAAAATATTATATTTTTCTTTATTTTTGGTCAAGAAATGCATTTCTGGGTTGTTTATTTAACCACAGGTTCTGGGTTCTCTAACAAAACCCTGATTTTCATTCTTTTCATCATGACCCCAGAAAAAATATCCATCGCCTCTTTAGAAGAAAGTAATAACATGCTTTAGTATCTTATTTTTATAGTAATATAGATATTATATTAGTTCTTAATAGATTATAATTCATGAATTTCTTGTGTATTGTACGGGAAATATTAAACTAAATTTTAATAAAAAATATGATATATTTTGTTAAAAAAATTAATCAATTTAAAAACAATATTTTATTTATTGATGATAAAAATTGTTATATTAAATAGAACTAAACTAAAAATATGTAATTTTTAAAATTTAAAAATAATGAGAAAAATTAACCCTTATAAATATTTTTGTTTAAGATTATTTCTAAAAATACTCTTATTTAAAATTAAAGATTTATATTTTATATATAGAGGTAAGCATTTTATACGCAGAGGTCGATTTACACTCATCTAAAGATGTTCATACACAATTATTGTCCAGTTAATAATTTATAATTGGCCCATCAAAGTATACATATAAAGAATTAAAAAAGAAAGTGGATAAATATCCGTTTTTACATTTCACTCACACTCAACTTAAGGTACTCGAGTCTTTAGTCCAAGTCGATTTTAAATCCACAAATAACCTTTTCAGGTGTAATTGCTTTTGAACTTTGTTTATTTGTGGGTATAGATATGCTGAAAATGCAGAATATAAGGTCGTGAGTTGGTGGCATAGTGCTTTGTATGGACAAGTTTTGTAGCTTTAATATCATGAGAAAGAAAAATTGTACATTCATTTTTCTTCTAAGTAGGCAATCCCTGAATATGGATAGAGCCTAATGTTTGTAGACAACAGCATCGTCACAATTATATTTGGTAAAATAGAACTATTATGAACGGGTTCAATCAACATTTATGTTAAGACATGAAATCATTTGGAAAATAAGAGCTTTTACATATATCGATAAACCACAATCTACATACACATGATCAAATTACATTACTCAAGTCGAGCTTCTGTTAGAAAAAGTTTGCAGTTAATTATTAATGTAGATACCATATCAGCTTCCCATGACTTAATCTATTGAACTACTCTCCCTTAATCCCCTTCAAGAATTTGTGTACTTGAAGCATGGTAGGCCTGTTTGCAGGATTGTCAGAGAGGCATACACAAGCAATGTGCAGCATTTGAAGCATCATCTGCTTAGAATCAGCATCAAGAACTGTTGGATCAAGAACATCAGCAGCTTGCCCCTTCTTGATCTTCTGACTAACCCATCCAACCAAGTTTCCACCTTCAATCTCCTTAAAATCTGGTCCAGTTGGCTCTTTTCCAGTCACTAGTTCAAGTAAAATGACACCAAAACTGTACACATCTCCTCTTGTTGTGGACCTCCCACTCTGCCCATACTCTGGTGGAATGTAACCAAATGTTCCAGCTATATCAGTGGTGATATGAGTCTCACAGGCACTGATTAGTCTTGCAAGTCCAAAATCTGCAACTTTTGGCTCAAAGTCTTCATTGAGTAAAATGTTGCTAGCTTTAACATCCCTGTGGATGATGTGAGGTATGAAACCATGATGAAGGAAAGCTAATCCTCGGGCTGCGCCGGTTGCAATTTTGTAACGTTTGTTCCAGTCAAGGATTTCAAGGGCCCCAGTCCTATTTCTCAACCAAAGATCTAAGCTCCCATTTACCATATATTCGTAAACAAGGAGTTTTTCATCGCCCATTGAGCAATATCCAAGCAACGCAACAAGATTTTGATGCTTCACCTTGCCCAAGGTCTCCATTTCAGCCATGAACTCACGATTACCCTGCGTTTTAGCTTCACTAAGCTTCTTCACAGCTACTGTTTTTCCATC